GGAAGAACAAGCAAAAAAATTAAAATATAATACTAAATCTTATCAGATCTTCATTCCCCACGTAAAGCGTTCTTCAAAAATGGAAATCTTAAACTCCGCTGGGTATATTAAGATTGAAACACGCTCCTATACAATTTTCAATTTATCTCGTGCTAAACTTATCTTGACGTTTGCTCACGGGTAAAAAGCAAGAAAAATGAAGTGAAAAGTGAGAAAAACAACAAAGTAAACTTTCAAAAGTATTATCGCATTCTAATAAAGAATATTAGCAAGTGACAATATGTATATTTTTTATTAAACTTATTGTTAAGAAAATTGCAAAAATAAAAATTCACCGATATTCCTATATCTATCAATTGTATTCATCGTATTAATTGTTGTCATGTCTATAAATATATTCTGTGCAAAACAATTAAAATAATAAATTTTAATAATATCTCAAATTTTTCAAAATTTTTTCAAAATCTATCAATCGAGCTATCAATAAAGCAAAATTATTTAACAGAATTAGAATTTTTCTAAGGATGAATGAAAATTGGGAGTCATATTATTATTTGTTTGTAAATGTCTCATGTCTTTTATTTATTGAATTTGTATTTTTTACTCATATATCTAAATACGAATCGTTAATAACTTATATAAATAATATATTATTAAGATTATTTTTTAATAATACAAATTCAATATATATCAAAAAGCATGAAACATTTACAAACAAGTAATAACATGCCACAATTTTTACTCATCTCTAGAAAAATGGAAATACAAATTGCGTCTACTTTTTACAGAGGCTTGCATTTTAATATATCAGAGGTATATATGTATGTATATGGATATGAAATGTTATAAAAACGGTTATAATTGAAATAAAAAGAAAGAAAAAGAAGAGAGAAAAGAGACAACTGTTACTAGAAAGAATTTTCATTTGCTTTTGATGTATGCCTGTCTTTTCGCCAACAAAACAATTCGAAAAACAATCAACCGATGAAAATTGAATATTCGATTGACAATCCTTTCAGCTCACAGCTCTCTACTGCTGTGTATTTTCGCATTTGCTACAAAGTTACCGATACATTTAAAGACACGATTTATCAAATTTAATAAATCAGAATAAATCTATTAATTCACAAGATGTAAAACTAAATAATATAACATTGGATATTCAATTTCTGGACTAAAAATAATGTCCATATATTTAATAACTAAATATTAACTAAATATAGTTTATGACATGAAAGAAATTATTTGAAATATATTATATATATTATAATAACATAATCTTCAGCTTGAAACAATAATAAATAAGTTCTTTATTATATAATCGAAAATATGAGAAAGTTTATAAAACCAGAAAATACAATTTTATATAGTGCGTATAAAATATTTCTCTATTTTTACTCTCATCTCTAACGTTACACGTGTGTTATTTTATTTTATATATTGTATGAGAGAAAAAAAAATAAAAATGCCTCAGAGATGAAAGATTATAAGCCATAAAATTAACAAAGTCGATTCACGTCGACACAGAGTATTCCCCAATTATTATGCAAATCTAAATCGCTCTACGGGCGTTATCGTATTCCTTTCACTCTCTGGTATATTAACGCAGGATTAGGAGAAGCTAATATAAATTTACCTGTTGCATCGGATACGCTGCGCTACCGACGAGAAGATCCCATGCCCACGCGAAGATTCGCGCGCAAATGTGCATTGACGTCACCGCCACTTTATAGAGCCTGCTCTCGTCCTTCGCGTCCTTTTCCGGAGGTTAGAGCGATCTCTCCCTCGACGCACGATCACATTCTCGAAAAATCGTCTCGCGCTTCACTCCCGAAACCGATCCCCGGCATTTTCCGACACGCGACTCGTGTTTCCTCGACGCGAAATTTATATCGATCACGTAACGTGCAAAATCGATAGATCCTCGGACGATCGACAATTCCGAGTTCTTCGAATGTTTCTATTCGATATTGCACGCTGTGGCTTAATCGCCCGCGCAATTTTCCGGCATGTTGACTGAAGTTCACTCCGAAACGTAATGAAACTCGCCGTGCGTCACGGCGCGTGGTCACACTGCGCCAAACGTCATATCGTTCACACTTGGATTTCACTTCGCGTTCTATTATACAAAAAATCGAAGATTCGCGTTCGCTTGAATTCCGATCAGTATAAACAAACACTCGCGACGATTTCACTACTCAACACCCTCGTTTGTTTCTTACACACTTTATCTCTCTCCAGCGCCGAAAGTCCGTGTGACAGTTCGCGATATTATCTCGTTCGGCGAATCGCTTCGACACGACACTATATGTATCGCGTCCGAATGTACGTTCATTGCTCGAGAAGAAGGGAGACGGAATACCGTATAGTCAGATATTTGTCACCCCGAGACGAGGAAATCGCGCGAACGACACCTTGTTCACAGCCACGGCGCGGCACAAACTACTTGTTGATCAGCGCCCCCGAGAGGGATACCCGCGCACGAACGACCGCGTCGCTATGAAGTTGCCGCCAATTCAGATGGGTTAATCGCCAAGCGCCTAGTAATAATCGCTCTTTAATGGCTAAATTCAAATTGCCTCAGGTAAATCTGATATTTTCTCGCGACGATATAGGAACCCTACGATCGACTGCGCCGTGAAATAAAATTGAGTTTGCATCCAAACTACGTTGCTGCCAATTTGTTCCGAATTAAAGCGGAAGTATTACAATATTGGGAGAGCAAAAATTTCGCGAGAAAACGTTGCGAAAATATACGAGAGATACAGACAAAATATATGTATGTGCCATATGTGAGAGTACTGGAATTTTTGCTAATCCAATTTTTGGAACGTACCAATAATACCGAAATCGCAGATAACTGGACCGCGCGTAGGGAAGTAAAGATCTCGTCCTCCGATAATCGATGCAATGAACGTAGATCCGGGACGAGATATGACACACCGCGTTGGCGATGGCGACTCGTCCGCGATGTCCTTTACGCGGAAGTGGATTTTGCGGAGCACGATTTGCGCGGACGCGACGAGACCCTACCGCGTCCTCGAACTGCGTTTATCCACACACACACAGATACAACGCGTCGCAACGCGCTCCGACGAGAGACCGAATGATACTGAACTGAAACGTGGATCGCGCGCGTGCCACCTAGACGCGCCGAAGACGCGGACTCGCGATAACAGGTGCCAACGTACACATATAAAAAAATTTTTCAAACTTAAAAAAGTACAAATATTGTGATGTTTTATTTATCTATTATATATATATAGGTATAATGTTTAATTATTATATATATGTACATACGCAGTACATGTACGTGTATACTTAGTTTGACAATAAGCTTAATAAGTTTGAAAAAGTTTGGAATATATATGTATAGCGTTATCGCATTTAATTTACATGAAATGTCTAGATTGTTCTAAATTTGTCTACTTAGGTTGTGTTCTAAAACGTCCTCTTCGAGGAAAATTTTATACTGACAATCTAATAATGTAGGTAACGTGTACTGTAGTTTTTTAAATATTGAATGTAACATTGTTTAATTTATTAATTGCTATTTTATATTTGAAGGTAATAGAAACACTGTTTTGTTTCGAACAGATATATATGTTAACATCTTCTAAACAGATATTTTATTTATTAGTAAGAACAATTTTAATTATATGTTTTATAACAATTGTTGTCAATTTAAAATAATGCACTTTTCCTATATATTTATTATAATTAATAATCAAGTTTAACTTTTCTCTTTTTAAGTATTCAAAATCAGATTATTTAATTAATATAATATTAATGAGAAAAATATATATATAATGAAAAATTATATATATAATAAATTATTTAAGAACCCTAACAGCACACGTATCCCAGAATCCTAGGAACGTTCGGAGTACATCCAGAGGAGATCCTCAGGATGTCCTCTGGATGTCTTTCGGATATGTTGTGCTGTTAGGAAATTAAATATTTTTTTAGAAAGATGTATAATTTTCTCTTTTCTATATCAGAGAGGAAATATCTACATTAATTTTAATTGTGTTTTTTATTCTTATTATTGACATTAAAATCTAACCAATTATCGACGTTAACAATACAAACTATATATTATATAATCTTGTAATTACAGATTTTGTGTATGCACTTTTTTATGTTGACAATATAATCAAGTGTTGTTCTCTGAATATAATATACAAACTGTATATTATATTCAGAGAACACTATAATCAAGCGACAATATAATCAAGTGTTGTTCTCTGAATATAATATACAAACTGAATAAACATGCATTAATTATCAACAAAATGATGACTTATGGCTGTGTTCCAAAATTGACTGTCAGTACGAAAATGCTATAGTATGTCACGTATACTGTAGCATTTCAGGTCAGTCAGTACTGACAGTCAATTTTAGAACACGGCCTATGACAAATAATAAAGTAATCTGCTCTTCTCTTTTAAAGTCTTTAATCGAAATCAACCGTAAAAATAATTGTAAAAGTATAAGCGCAACAATAAAGAGTTAAAAAAAGAATTTGCATATATACAGAGCATAAACAATTAATTAAATCTGAAATCTTTAAAAGTGCGAGCCTTATTTATATAAATATAAAGCACTTTATATTTATGAATATTTATGAATCTACATATATTTTAATTAATGCACATATAAACTGACTAATGCGTACTATAAATTATTGATTCATCGTCTCTTTAAATAAGTGCTAATGAACTTTTGAACTTTCATCTTTACATATATATATATATCAACTTCGTGAGTTATAATTTCATAAACAAGCAAAATAATATTTTTGTACACATATTCGCATTCCAACTCATTAATTATCAGGGAAATTCTTATAACACAATCGGATTCTAATTGATCAAATAATGGTTAAATTCTATATTCGTTTATTTCGCTCTTCGTTTGTGTGTATTATTTGTTTGTGTATTGTAATTAGCTGTGACGTCAACGCTACGCGAGCATGCCCAGAATGTTCCTTGTGTGTGTGTGTGTGTGTGTGTGTGTGTTGGAGGGGAGCTACTGTATATGTATTATTACCGGTGGCAAAGCGAGAGAAGCGTCCGTTTTCATCCTAGTGAAACATACTCCTGATTTGATCATACGTAGACACACGGTAATAATAAATAATTGATTAAATGATAGAACTTTGAGGCAGAAAAACGATTACGCATGTTAAAGAATTTGAACTATGTTACAGATAAATATACATTGTCTCGTACAAATATAGAGAGGTTAGATTGTCGGATTCGTTGTTACGCACAAACGAGGATAAGGAACGAGAATAGCGTACTATTTACGGACGAGGCAAACGAAGCGCAAACGTAGTCGTGAATAGAATTACGTCGTGTCCAGGTAAGACGAAAGAATCGTATCTCAATGAGCTCTCAACAAAGCCCAGCCGCTCTACAAACTTCGGTCGACCGCGAGAAAGTCTATACATGGATAATCGAGCTGTCAAATCCGGACACCCGGGAGAATGCTCTGTTGGAATTGAGTAAGAAGCGCGAAGTGGTGCCCGATTTGGCGCCGATGCTCTGGCATTCGTTTGGCACCACGGCTTCTTTGCTGCAAGAGATCATCAACATCTATCCCGCAATCAATCCTGCAACTCTAACTGCTTATCAGAGCAACAGAGTATGCAATGCCTTGGCGCTTTTGCAATGTGTAGCCAGTCATCCGGAAACGAGATCTGCGTTCCTACAGGTAGGATTATGATGCGATGTTTGAAACGCTTATGAGAAATAAAAAGGAATGTACACAATATAGAATAAACAAACAAGACCTCGGGTCATAGATTATTGTGTTAATGTGAAAATTGAATGTAATTTTTATTAAAATCTTATTATATCTAAATTGATTTTATTCATCAACTTGATTTTTATTCTTGCAAGGGTTTTGTATGCATTTTAAAATAAAAAAATTAATTTATATGTAAAAATACAAATTAGTTTAAAGATTTGCAGTAATATTTGGCTTTTGCTCTATTTATTTTATTATTAAAAGTCTTATTTATTGAAATTATATGATCGCAAACTATATATATATATATATCTGTATTTAATTTCAGGCTCATGTTCCGTTATTTCTGTATCCATTTTTGCATACTGTAAGTAAAACACGGCCATTCGAGTATTTGAGATTGACAAGTCTCGGAGTGATTGGTGCACTTGTCAAAACAGATGAGCAGGAGGTGATTACTTTTCTGCTCACTACGGAAATTATCCCACTTTGTTTGCGAATTATGGAAAGTGGATCTGAATTAAGTAAGACTGTAGCAACATTTATACTGCAGAAAATATTGTTGGACGATAGTGGCTTGTCATATATTTGTCAAACATATGATCGATTCAGCCATGTTGCTATGATCTTAGGAAAAATGGTTTTATCCCTAGCAAAAGATCCTTCTGCAAGATTACTTAAACATGTTGTGAGATGTTATCTGAGATTATCTGATAATCCAAGGTGAGTACAAAAACAAAATGTGTGTAAAACAATGTTACAAAATTTTTAAAAAATAATTTAAATATGACGTTATGTTATGCAGAGCATTATTAGCCTTAAGGCAGTGCTTGCCAGATCAATTGAGAGATAATACATTTGCGACATGCTTGCAAGAGGATGCATCAACTAAGCATTGGTTGAACCTACTTCTTAAAAACTTGGAAACTGGTCCACAACCAGGTCCGCCGACTCAGCCGGGACAAGATCCGCGGACAATTGGCATGTCGCCACTTACTTCCTGAACTCTTTAAACTTATGATAATTATAAGGTATATTGCATATAAAAACAAACGTTGAACACATCTTTCCATGAATTGTTCTATATTTTTTCATGATAATGGCTATGCCACCTACATATTATTTCATAAATCGTGCTGTGAGAACTAGTAATAAGTATATCATCGATTTGAAATTCATATACATTATAATTGTAAATATTGTATAGATGCTTATGGCAAGATCTAGATCTAGTAATTACAATTACAGTATAATTTAAATTTAATAAGTATTCATTTGTTTTCTTGAAGTTTAAGACTGTCGGCTAATAGTGTTGACAACAAGTTTATACAAATCAAAAGTGTTTTTGTACGAACAAGACATAAGATATACAAAATTTAATGAGATATATATGTTCATATATGATATGCATACTCTAATATATAAGAATTGTATGTAAGACCAACAAGTATGATTGTTGTATTTACGTTTAACTGCCAGATATTCTGATAAATTTTACATAAATGCATTTTATAACAAATTCAAACATTATCTATTGCTTGAAAAATATTTGATTGCACAAAAAAATCATTCTTGAAGAGATATGATATACAAGTAGTCATGCAAAAATTAACATCTAGCGTTCATTCACTTTGTATATTATTATGGGCCTAATTAAATTAAATAGATAATATGTAATGCATATGAAATCATGTCGGCAAATTTATTTTACTATCTAAGTTTGTGTGAATAATATTTTATACAAGTAAAACTTAATATCCAGAGGATTACACGATTAATTTTAATCATTTTAATCCAAATTTTAGATTTCAGAAACTTGTAAATCGGATCATTGAGATTTGTGACGAATACGATTAAAATTAATTGCGTAATTTTCCGGATATTAAATTGTTAAACTTTAGGTGGATCACCCTATATAAAATTAATTTACGCGTGTGCGTTTAATGAGATATATTCGAGAAAATCAATTTTGTATCATTATGATTGATAACAGGGTACACTATGAAAAAATTAAATCATTAACTAATTACATAATATACCTGCATTATTTATATCGCCAAATAATTGCGAGTCATAGTGTAATTTAATTTTGATAAAATATTGAGCTGTGTGAATTCACAAAAATATTAAAATTGAATACAAATTAAATTTGTATAAACATGAATACATTTTATTCAGTTAAACTGAAGTAGAAAAACGATCGTTAATATTTGGGAGAAGTTTGTGTTATATTGCTTACATCATTAGTTATTCTTACGAGTTCAGCCTCATTCTATAAAAAGAAAAAAAACATTAAGTAAATAGTCTGATTAAGGATCACAAAATATACATACCGTTTTCTGAGGATTCTTCGAGCTTAGAAGACCGTGTATAATGGGTGTAAATAATCTTTTGTCAGTGCGATTGTATTTAGATGGTCCAGTGAACCATGAGACTAACAAACCTACCAAGATTGTAGTTAAAAAACCTACCCACGTATACCAGAGATACGACATTCTGTATAAAAAGAAGGGTTGTTCTCTGAAAAAATAAGAATGGTTTAGTTACGCAAGCTACAAAAGAAAAATATTTCGATAAAGCAAGAAAGAAGAATATTTTGATAAATGTACCTGACAGTCTCGACGACTACCCTCGTCAGATTTCCGGCAGTACTTTTCAGCAATTCGGAGCATCCCTCTACTGATACTGGTTTCTCTGGGAAATAGATCAATCCATTGGAAATCGCCGCTTGTGAACCAAATGAAATCCAAGCAACCAAGTGCAGACTAATTAGTGCACCGACGAGTGCTCCCTATTCAGGTAAAAAAATAGACAAAATTATTCGAACAAAATTTCTTAGAACCAATTTAATTTTAATTAACTTGGCAAGACACTTGTATCGCAAATCTGACAGGAAAATTAATGTTGGAAATTTTAAGTATCCAGATTGAGACTATATAATAAAACTTTTAAGGTCTAAAACTTTCATACAAAAAATTACATTTTACATACAAAATTAAATTTTTCAAATAAGTTATTAGAGAATAATTCAGGTATCATCTATAAGTTTATATGTATATAAATTATGTATTATATTAATGTAAAAGTTATGTTCTATCACTATAATAAACATAAAAGTGTTTGTGATGCAATCTAAATGACTGATTTCTCTACAAATTTTGATCTTACCCTAGAATTAGCCATTGGAAAGAACATGCCCAATGTAAACATTCCCAGTAAAGGTCCAGCAGTTATTCCGGACAAGCTCTTGCCAGCCTGAAAAAAAAATTAATGTTACTCACTACGATTTAATTATAAATTAATTTATGAGTTCTCCAATGACCTAATATTTTCCTTGTAGAATATTCACGCATCCTGTTACCTGGATTAGACCGCTCAGTTTCTCTACCATGAAGACGAGGCCCACGCAAATGGCTCCTATTATTACAACCGTGGCTTTCATTATGCGGCTTGCGCCAACGTTGGAGATCGGTTTACGGAGGCACGGCTTAATCATGTCTTCGTAGATCACACCCGCCATGGAATTCAATCCGGTCGACATTGTGCTACAGATCAACGAACCAGTGTATTAGAATTACAAAAAGGAGAAATAATCTGATATGTAAAACATTAATAACATTTATTTATCATATAATAATCATCATAATTATCATATAATAATTATATTAAATATTATAACAAAATACTTTATCTCTTTAGAGTTTATGATGCTATCATTCTTGCTAATTTTAGATTTAATTGTTTTTATTTCAATACACAGAGATACTTTTCTCTTAGAATTCACCTTGAAAATCATGGTAATCGTAGGACAATATTGTACTTGAAGAATTTTATAAGAATTTCTCTGATTAATATTTATCACAATAAAAAATATTACTATGTACATAGTAAAATTAATCAAACATCTTATTGTGATAGATATTAATATTTTTCATTGTGGTATAAATATTAATCAGAGAAACTTTTAAAATTCTTCCAATATATTATATTGTCCCATGATTACCTTAATTTTCAAGGTGAATTCTAAGAGAAAATTCTCTCTGTGTACAAATAAATACAGCAAATATCTCAAAATTGACTAAAAAGATTGCAAAATTTTAAAATATTAAATATTTTACAATATAGTAAATATTTCACAATACCTTAACGCTGCACTGAATACACCAGAAACAAATAATCCTGGCAAGCCTGGTATTGTGTGTGACAATTCCATCACGAAGTATGGTAACAGCTGATCAGGTTTTCGTACTTGCTAAAACAATTTTTGCATATTTATTTTGTAATCTCTTAATCTCAAGTTTAAATTGTCGACAAACTCATCGAATCTTCACACATTTTACTCACAATATTTGATTTTATAAATTGTGTCTAATTTATTTTTTTTTTTTTACCTTTGTCGTAACAGGATCACAGTCGTAGAAGGCCGCATAGATGACGACTCCCGTGTAGCAACATAACGAGACAATGCTGACTATGCCTACGGCCATTATCATAATCGCCCTAGATATAAAGAGGAATTAAATAAGCGAGACGCCGTTGTGCGTCATGAAATATGTATATGTATAGTACTTACACGTTAGATTTCCTTAAATTTGGCATTGCTAAACATCTCTGCACCATCGCCTGGTTGACCGAGCATGTGGCCAACCAGTTTAAATAATTGCCGACCACCACGGTCCAGAAAGTGTGTCTTATTGTGGGATCCGGATCCATACTAATTGAAACAATAAAATAATTTAAAATAACATTTATTACTTGATAATCAATTAATGTTTAATAGTTGTTTGACGGAATGATAACATTATATAACTGAATACTTGTTGCATTAAGTAATTAAAAATAAATTAATGATATATAGTTAAAATAAGATAAAAAGATGAAAAAATTATATAATATAACAAAAAAAAATGGAAAATACAGAGAGAAAAAGAAAGAAGAGTTAGTTCGCACTTGAAGAATTCGATTCTCCCAGAATCAACATTCCTTTTCCACACTTCCGCCACACCACCGACTCTCGCTGTACCAAGTATAGCAACGGCAATAGCGGCGCCGAACATCATCGCTGTCTGAATGGTATCTGTCCAAACGACTGCTTTCAAGCCACCCTGAAATAAAAGGTCATATATATTTTCTTATAATTAATTACATTTTATCGACATTACTTTGAATATATGATATTATCGTTTCTTTTGAAACGCTTACTTGTTTTTTTTTCATTATGCAGTATTTAAATAATTTTTATTAAAGATAGTTAATTTTTATATCTTATAACAGAAAAAAAATATTAAATCAACGCTTATATAAAATGTTATTTTATATAAAAATAAGTTATTTTCTATCCAATATTTTTTTTTATTCAAAAAAACTATTCTTAAATAATAAAATTAATATTTTTTATGATTAAACTATATAAAATGTTTTCATTCAAACAAAATGTTGCATATATACACGGAGAGGAATTTCTCTTACAATTAGAATTTACCCTGAAAATCATAGTAATCATAGGACAATATGATATTGAAAGAATTTTATAAATATTTCTCTGATTAAATATTTACCACGATAAAAATATTATATAGTAATATGTACATAGTAAAATTAATAGAACATATATTTTATATCTTATTATGATAGATATTAATATTTTTATTGTAGTAAATATTTTTTTAATCAGAGAAATTTATAAAATTCTTATAATACCATATTGTCCCACGATTACCATGATTTTTAGAATAAATTCTAAAAGAAAATTCTCTTTATGTACAAGTATATAAATTTTTTTATATTTAATTTTGTTGCATATATACAAGTATATACAAGTGTTGATTCGACATTTCTTTTTTTTGTGTATCTCCCTTATATAATATGCAAATAAAACTCCGAATCGGACTATTGTATCGTAAAAGTTCAAAAATTCAATGCATCTCTTTAAATGAAAATGATATTGCTATTTGAATGTATGAGCGATGCTCTTACTAGTGTCGTGTAGAAAATGCATACGGCGCAAACCAGCATCGCGATCGTGTAAAGGTCCATTCCGGTCGCCTGATTGAAGGCTAGCGCCGGCACGTATATCACCATCGGTATGTAAAGCAGCTGCAAGCGCAGAATTAATGAACGTGTTGAATTGCACACGGAATTGACGCGTATCAAGCTTAACACTTTGATGAATTCTTAGTATGATAGAGGCTTATACATATTAAAGAGACATATTGTCTAAAAAAAATTTTGGCAATTTAAACAAAAAAATTTAGCAAGGTTTTTCATGTATTTGAAAAAATAAATTTTAAAAACGCAAACTTGCAAAAATTATAGAACTTTTCGAAATTAAAATTTCTCTCTCTTTTTATTTTAATTTTCCTTATTTAATTAATGAATTTAACTCACCATTTTGATAATGAAAATAACAGATCCCATGAGTCTGACCACTCGATTGAATCTCAATTCTAGATACTGCGAAAATGTAAAGAATTAGACGCGAAGGCTAAGGATTATTATATAGATTCAATAATGTGATATTACCTCGTAAGATGATGTAATTCGGAGTCCATAAAAAACCGGCAGGTATACGACTACCATTGTAAGAGACACAAAAGTGTCCGCAATCACGACGCACCATAATTGCGTACCGTAAACGTACATTTCGGCTGCTAGTCCCAACATCGCTATACCCGACACGTAACTGTAATTTTATGATCCTATTTAAATTAACTTGTAATGGTATAATGTGTGTATATAATGCAAATTTAAGCCTTATTAATTTCCCAACTATCTGTGACAAATGAATGAGTTATAAAAACTTTGATTATTTACATAATTGATATATAGATAATTGTAATTTGCAAGATGATAAGTCAGATACTTAATGACAAAATTAAAATTTTATCATACTTTTTTAAATTTTTGTCTAAAAATTTAATTTTAATACTATACATGATATGCACACTGAAAAAGAAAAAAATGGTTGATTTGATTAAATCGTTCAACTAAATATTGTTTTATTAATTGAACATATAGGAATATTTAAATTAAATATAACATATTAAATCTAACAGAACGTGTATTTGATTTAAATATTAATATATGTTCAATTAATAAAATAGTAATTTAATTGAACGATTTAGTCCAACTGACAAATTTTTTTTCAGCACTAATTTACAGTAACATTTCATTCAAAATAAATTGATCGGTGTACCTTATAAAAATCATAAAATGAAAATTATATAATACTCTATCATACTAAGAATTCTTATAATAATTCTTAGAAAATTCAATTTTGCAGTTTTATCATTTTGCAACACAATATATATTTAAATCTGAAATAAAGATTTATAAATAGCAGTTGCCGTCAATAAAACATTAATAGTTATGACTAAGATGGGGCGCTCTTAACACAAATTTTCTTATTTGAATATCTCGACACGTGGACTTGTGACTATTAATAATTACAACTTTAACTAGAGAACCTTGACAGCCAATTGTGACAAATGTCACCTAATGTGTCCCATATATTTCCGGTTCACAATTCACAGAACAGTTCCTTTATCAATGTTCTATATTTTGCTATTGTAAAGCTAAGAATAAGTAAAACTATTTTATGTCATGCTTTTTCACCAAGCACATAAAAAATACATTTCATCTATTAGATCTCAAAAAACATATTCTACTTTTATTTACAATTATTACAACTTTTAAGAATTAAATTGAAATACTTGATAAAGTTTGAATAAGTTAAAGATAAATTTTTACCTTGCTATCAATGACATGCTTATCGGGAATACAGACATTTTTTGGCCTCCTACAAGGTACTCTCCCACAGCATCTGCCTTTTTCCTGGATGCATAATACTGGTAGATGCCTACGAGGGCAGAAACGCCTAGCAAACTGATGAACACAACTGCATCGATCAAATCAAACCGGCGTTTTTCTGTCACATCCATTTTTTGCTTCTCAAAAATTTATTTTAACAAATAAAAACACCCCAATCAGAGATATTCACATCCGCTCAATTTTATATTTTAATGCCGCGATGCACATTCTAGTATTTTTGATTACTCGATATCAATAATTCAATGTTGAAGGTACTTATTAAAATAGTCGCAAACTAACACAGAAAATTAATTAGATCACAATTATCTTTCGTCGCGTGTATAGTAAGTTTTGCACATCACCAAAGCACTAAATCTGCATTTAGAACAGATTCAGTTCTTTAAAGTTTTTATCTTTATTATAAAAATTTGCATAAAATTTAATCTGTCCTGTCAAATAATTAAAGAGTACATCAGAGAAATGACAATGAATTTATAATTGTAACACTTATGACAATGAATTTATAATTATAACAATTATAACAAGTTAAATTGTTTTATTATAATTTATTTCTAAATATTTGCAGAAATTCATAAACACCCACAAACACATAACACATATACTCAAATTTTATACAGACATGATTGCCAAATTTTTTGAAGAGACACGATGATAATAAATTACGATTGATGGGAATTGATTGAAACCACGAAGCTTTTAAAAGATTAAAAACCTGCGGCGTTTCGATTTCGCGCAAAGCCGAGATTTCGAGATTAAGTAGAGATTACGACTGCGTGTCGCTTCTTCTATACGCTCTCTGAAATGTCTACGACGGTGAAAGAGCAATACGTTAAGCACGACTCCACGAGTCACGATTGAATAATTGCGGATTCTCCGTCGTCGTTGCTCTATATCGCTCTCGGCCACTGCCTTCCGTGATAACTTTTTAGAGCACGAAATATATAGCTTACGGAAAAGCAAAAGCTATGATAAGTCATATTTTTAACTAATATTATACGAGGAAATCCTTATTAAAACTATAGCGTTGAAAATATTAGTTACCGTATCTAAAATTTAGACATGGCTAAATTTCAGGTGTAATGTAGGAATACTAAAAGCTTTAAAGCTTTAGCTAACAATAAGATAAATAAAAATATTATTTTGCGTGCAAAAGAAAAAATATATACAGAGATAAAAATTAGAAATTATTATTTTTACTCCGACCGTTCAATTTTTGATACTTACGGATAATAATTATTTCTAATAATGCTATTGAATGCTATATAAATTAAATATATTTTGATAGTATAAGTTCTTTAAAAATGTGACATTAATTATAAAATCAACATTACTCTGTCACGACTTTTCATTATTTTAATTATACGATCTTACAAATTCAATATGCGTTATTGTATTATATTATAAAATTATATAATATCAATAATCCTCCCAATGGGTACATCTTGTCGTGGTGGGATAGCTCTAGTACCTGGCTGGATAATACTTTAAGATTTATCTTAAAGAATTATTCTGAAGAGGAAATAAAGTACCCGTTCGTGTCATCGTCCGCGTCTCGTGTTTTTTCAATTTAAACTCTTCACAGTTTCCTGATTGTGAGACATACGCTCAAATGTAATGTATATTATCTCGACTGTTAATTCTTAGTGTGATTCTCGGCAATCGATCGTAAAATTCGAGAGTACCGTTAATTAAAAGTTTCGCACGTACAAGTGCGGGAGTGCCGTTAAAAGTATCGCGCGTATTAATCAATAGAGTTTGACAACAAGGAAAAAGCCTAAAGAGGCATTGAGCACCAACAGAGCAAATCTAGGTTATTTATTATTTTGTATACATTGTTAAATAAATCGTGCATTAATTCAATTTAATTATTTGAATTATGTAAACAAAAATTTATTTTAATTACTTTTATCAACTTTTTTATAAATCCTATAAAATTTTTAAATATAAAAAAATATAATTATTCCATTGTATATTCTTTCTTTACTACTAGATAACACAAGCGCGCGCCAAACAATTTATTAAATTATAACGCATAATAGAAATACGCTTTAGAAAATACAGCAGTTTAAACAAAACTGTCAAAGATGAATTTTTTCAAATTTCAAGATTTTTAAATTCTGCTTTGTACATGGATGTAACATTCGCAGGCGAATGTCCTGAACCACAAGAAACGATTCTAAATACGACTGAGCATGTATATTTGACATATCTTAAAGCTAGTCACTTTTTAAATTTTTCGCTTCAACATCGAAATCGATCTATCTTCGCTTAAAGACTTTGAACGCACTTGAAAATGTGTTTTTAATATATAATATATTAATGTGAATCTGACAGCTGACTATAAAGAATTAATTTTTTTAATACCAAAAATGATAGTACGTCGATCGCTCGCGTCGTCAGTGGAAAAATCAAAAATTCAAGTTTTTCTCCAAATTGAAAATAACGCAAATCCAAATCAGCAGTCTTATTAAAAATCGTTTATAGATGTGTGAAGTGAATTTCGTTTCGCTTGTAGTTGCACACTTTAAAAAATACAGCAGTTTAAACAAAACTGTCAAAGATGAATTTTTTCAAATTTCAAGATTTTAGATAAAACAGTCTAAAAAAATAATTATTTAAATAAACATTACTTTTAAGCAAAATTATTACTCTGACCTACATTCGTTTAAAAAAAAATTAAAAATTATATTGTAAAAATGTATTTACATAACTTATATATATGTATATATTTTTTCAATACAATATTACATTTACATTTCTAATTTAAATTAGATTAGATTTCTAATTAAAGATTGCTTTTTTAAATAAATAAAATGTTGCTTCAAACTTTAAACTAAAATTTACCTACTATAAATTTCGTTTTTTAAGTTTAAAATTCATTTTTCTGATTATAAAATGCAGTTTTCTTTGTTAGAGAATAAAAAGATTAATTAAAATTATTCACGAGAGTGATAAATAAATTATATATATATATATATATATATATATATATATATATATATGCATAATACATATACATAAAAAAATTCTTGAATTATTATTATGTCTCGACATAATTTTAATTCATCGAATTTTAATTATGTCTCGACATAATTTTAATTCATCGAATTTTTATTATGTCTTGACTTAATTTTAATTCATCGAATTTTTATTATATCTCGACATAATTTTAATTCATTGTATTTTTATTATGTTTCGAGATAATTGTAATTCATCGAATTTTTATTATGTCGCGATATAATTTTAATTCGTCGAATTTTTATTATGTCTTGACATAATTTTAATTTATCGAATTTTTATTAGGTATGTCTCAACATAATTTTAATTCATCGAATTTTTATTATGTCTTAACATAATTTTAATTCATTGAATTTTTATTATGTCTCAATATAATAAAAATTTTTTGTTCTTTATATTAGTGATATCGGTTTAAAGGCAACAATTTTTGGATACATTCGAGAATAAATAACATGTTTTTTTTAGAAAGGGAATCTTGTCTTTCTCTTATATCTCTTCTATTTCTATCTTTTATCTTCTTTATGTTATTCTAAATGATTAATCGCAAACTGTTAAACTGTCAAACAATCTTGGTTGTGATTCAAGCCGCGAAACAAACTTCGAGACAACCAATCAGCGTCGCGGAAAAGAGGTTTCAAAACTTTGATACAAATTGAATTCACACAGTTAACATACCTTTTTTAGAAAGGGATAAAATATTTTAAAATATTGTTTATTTAATAAAAATAATTGTAATGTTAAATAATATCTACAAATATTAAAAATAATAGCATTAACACTTGATATAGCTATACAAGAAGCTTTACAAAAATGAAATATTGCAGAATGTCAACTCTTTATTGGCCCCATTTATACACGTATTGTAATCGAAATGTTGCTATACGTAAATGTTATTCAAATATACAAATAAAATTAAATAATTTTATTACAGCTTCATTTGTCTATAATATATTAATGATCAACAGATATTAACATAAAAATAAATATACATATAAATAATCTGTTTTTAAAAATTTTAATATTACTACAAAATTGTACAATATTACAAATGTTATTAATATATTAAGAATATTAAAATTAATATTTAACGTTTGCTTTTTGTATTTAAAATTAATATTAACAGTTTTATATTAGTCATAATTATTATTAAAATAGTTGATAATAAATGTTAATATAATAATATAGAAAAGTTAAGGAAACAATTAAAAATATATTTAATATTAAAATTATTAATATTTTAAGAATTATAATAAAAATATTAAATATATAATTAGAAAAAACATAAAGAAAAACCATATATAAAAATACTACTAAAAATAATTATATAAAAACTTTTCGTAATATGTATAATTGTCACAGTTGTTATCTTTTATTGTCTCGTACTAGCTGGTCATTCAAATTTTATTCTGTTCTACCATAAATGGTCCAGATCATTGTGTAGACGCATAATTTGATTTGCACGTATTATTATTTTATGATGAACATTCAGATATAGTTCGTTCAGGTTGTAAAACACAAATTTTTGTATCTAAAAAAATTATTATAATCGGCATTATACACGTTAAAAATAGTATTTTAGTCGCAAATATTATAGTCTTTCATATATTACATAATTTGAAGAAAAAAAAATATATACAGGGTGTCCCATAATTCGCGAATCACCTTTCTTGGGCAGATAGAGCGTGTTAAACTGAATAGAAAATTCATGTATCATTTTGCGATATTCGCAATAATTATTGAGTTATTATTAAAATAATTATTGAGTATTTATTTATTAAAATATCTAAACGAATAAGCAGGTAGAAAGCATTATTTGATCGAGAGTCAGTGTCATGCAGCGAGCGGCGACCAATGTAGTGGCGCCGAAAAGTAAGATGATACTTTTGATACTAAGCGGCATATAACAAATAAGTCATCCGACATGCACACCGATTCCGGTCTACCGCTTTCTACCCGCTCATTCGTTTAGATATGTTAGTTAATAACTCAATAATTATTGCGAATATCGCAAAATGATACAGGACTTTTCTATTCAGTTTAACACGCTCTATCTGCCCATGAAAGGTGATTCGCGAATTATGAGACACCCTGTATAGATTATTAAAAATATATATATGGTTTATATAAAAACATGATTGTATATAAGAGATTGATATATAAATATATGTTATATATGTATATATATATACTTGGATTCATAATATTTACCTGTGTAATTGACCTATTTGAATAGATGTGATTAATAATAATAATTAATGCTGCAGCTGTACTTATCTCTCTACACAAATAAAACAAATTGTAGTAAAGACTCAACTTATATAATAACATATAAACTGTCATGATTACGAAGAACATATATTTATAAAGAATATTTTACCTAGGTTTAAGCTTCTCAAAATTAGATAATATATAGTCAAGTAGTTTATAATTCTGTGCATGCTTTGTAATAAGTAAAGAAAACACTTTAATATGGTCTCTAACTTGTAAACTTGAAAAGGTAGGTTTTTCAGTAAGATTTGGATCGTCTCCCTTTCTTAGCATCAATTTGATTGCCGCTTCATTTGTAGTGCAACACAAAAATTCTAAAATTCTACTAGATTCCTTTGCATCAAATGAGTCGAGCCATAAATGTAATACATTTGACCACGTACCGTAGTCGTGACCCATACCGTGACAGAATGTCCATGTTTTCCACCACGGCAAAATCCTAACATACAAAAAAAAATTATATAATTTAAAAAATAATGCGCAACGCATTGAAAAAAATTATTTTAATGAAACTATTATGAAAAATTACCTGTTTGTAGAAGGCGAATACAAATGCATTGTCAACTCTTTATTGGCCCCATTTATACACGTATCGTAATCGAAAACACATGCCCATCTTGCAATCTCTTGCTTTAAACACTTAGTAAGATCAACATCTTTGCTATATTCTTTCAAATCTATGTCCATCGTAGTTATTACAAGGAATAATATCTGTACATTTTCCTAAAAAGAAGTTCAACATACGGATTTTGTTTATCTTTTTAGGAACAGAACAATGACAATATGATTTAGAGTAACTGTTCACTATAATATTTTTTAAAAATAATTAACATTAAAAAAACTAGATTAAAAAATTGAGTAACGTAATAATTGAGATTTCTTTTCGTAACAATACAAATCGTAATAATGCAACGGAAAGATATACAGTTACTCTTTGTTTCATGGAATTATTCAGTTAAAATTGCGTAAATTAAATTTTATAAATAATGTATTTATAAAAATAATGGAATAAAATGTTGAAGAAATGAATGTTTTGCGAAATATTTAAAAAGAGTCGATTAAAGCTGATTTTGTGTACGTTAATTCAATAACCTTATAAATAATATTTCTTATTAAAAATTTTTTTATTATTTACTTTGATTCTTTGGATTTCTTCTTTTGAAAAAATATGATACTTTATATAAGGTACTTAATGTTCACTTTATAAAACTAGAGAGAGTCATATTTTATACACACACAAACACACATGTATATACATACTTCCATCTTCTTTTTGGCTTAAGAATTATTATTATTATATTTAACATAATTAAATTTGTGAAAAAATCAAACTTTTTCTATTACATAGCTTTTATATTTTTTTTCTAATTATCTAATAATTCTCGATTAAAACTGATTTTGTAAATGCAACGATCTCCTAAATATACCTAATACACACTTCTTATTTTAAAAAATATATTGTAATTTACCTTTATTTTGTCGACTTTGTGTGATTTAATTGGCAGTATTCTTGATATATATTCAAAAATTTTGAACATGGGATACCATGCTATGTATTCTTCTTCTGCCGTTAGAAATTTTGACATTTTCCAGAATATTTCGGGTTTGAGTTGGTCTGCTATCACGAAGTGGAACGCATCATCGATTAAGTTTGCTTTAATTAAGGCAGGCAATGCTATATATTTACGAGGATTTTCTAAATTTTTAGGAACCAAAAGACGTATAATTCTATTCCAAATTGGAACATCATAATTGACACGAAAATATCCTGTTGTATAAAAGAAATTTTACAAATATATATATATATATATATATATAATATAACTATGATTATAATTTTATATTGTTTATATTAGAATTTAAACTTATCATAAAATTTTGTTGAATATCTATAACTTTTTCTTTCTTATATTTAAAGAATACTATACTATACTATAATATAAGAACTGTATTTAAAAGTTGGCAAATTATATAAAACCAATTAATTGTAAATTATTAAATATAAATTCATATAAATTTATATAAATTTATATAAATTATATTATTTTATATTAACAATTGTACATATACAGTTGTAATAAGTTATCTAATTTTAAACTCTATAGTAACACAGATTCGCGTAACGATAATATACATATGTTATGACATTTTATTGAATTTTATTATATGCATTCAAATGGTGTGTTATACGTTGCAACCTGAGTCTTTATAAAAAGTAATACAAGCATATAATGTAAACTAGATATATAACAAAATTTTGATTATATATACAAAGATAAATACATAAGGATATATATTTATTTAATAGTATTTACCAATTAGTGATAAGTTGAGTAAAATTTCTATAATTTTTTTTTCTCTTAATCTTAGTTTTATAATTTCCATCGATTTATTGGAAGTCAACCATATATAATTATAAAACATAGTAGGATCCCATAATTCTTCAGTAGTACTAAAAACTATAGGTATCCACCATTCATTCAGATGGAGTACATCAAAATTTTCTAACAATATTATGAACTGTGTTGCGTTATGATGTTGTTTTATTTTTAACACAGGATATTGCGATTGCGTTGTCCAGGCATTCATTATTCGTGATACATTGAGCGTTATATTTGAAGAATTTGACGATATATTTTGAACAATTTGCATAGTTGACCAGAAATCATTGATACTTGCAGCCTTATATTTACTAAATTTATAAAATTCAACATTATAGATAAACATCGTGATACATATTTTGACAAACAACAGATACAATTTTATAACTTATACAAGTGTTATAGAACTTATACATATGTGTTTTTTGATAAATGTTTTACAGCTTTACTTATTTATATTATTTATAATTATTATTTATAATTATTATTTATAATTTAGTAAAAAGTAGCGAGATATAATTTATAAAATAACGTTGCTTATTTTACTTACTAGGTGTTAAAGTATATTTTAATACCATCCTCAAATATGAAATCGGAAAGTATGTTTCGCAACATGTTCATTATTGTAAATGCTGCAATGATCCATATTATTTAATATAATTAGGAGCATTTAAAATAAATTTAAAATTATTTTAAAACCTTCATAGTAAACATAATTAATTGATAATAATTTTGTAGAGAAAAATTAATTCAATAAGTTATCTGTGTGCCTCATAACATTTTTGTTCAGAAAATTATGGGAAACAATAAAATTATTTTTAAATGCTTACCTTTGGCGTAATAGGGATATGAAAAAAATGAATTAACTTCAGAGATGTGGGTGATTTTCGATGTTAGGGGCTTTAAAAAACCGCAATCCAAATGAAGAGATTCATATCGATATTGAACTGTAAGTAAATCCATTATTTGCCAATCTGGGAAAATCTATGTGGGAAGTTAAAAACAAAAAAAAATTATAATTTTTCAATATTAAATAAATAAATATTTAATTATATACAAAATACATGCTCGTATTAGCGTCTTATTATTGTCGAAAATATTTTTGTTATGTTCTAATATTAAGTACAGAAATAATATAATAAAATTTTGTCAAGCTTATTCCAATTAATTATTCTAAATTGAACATATATCCCCAATTTTCTGCTGGATCTAATAAGAATTTATAGAAATTGAATAGAATCCCAAAGGATCTACACAACTTATTTTTAACATATGTAGAAAATTTATAAGAAAGATATAGAAGGATGTATTAGAAAATAACCTTATCAAGAGCTTGAATTCCAAGCAACATAGAAATTCCATCATTTAACCAAAGAGAAGGCCCAGAGGTTGGGCTGACCAGATTACCAAGTCCCCCCCATTGTTGTGTTATTTTGCATGCTATTAAACGCGCTACCTCTATTTTGCGTATTACAGGATCTTTTCTTTCTTCGTAGATAATATTGGATAAGCTACAAAATTGAGATCTTATTATAAGTATGCATAATTTAAATGTATTAATGTAAATTTAATTATATTACACCTATATATAATTTAATTATATTACACCTATATACATATAATCTCCAAAAAAATTAGTCTAAAACTATACGTGCATCGAAAATTTATTATTAACTAAATAGGATCTTGTTTTTAATAAGTATAAAGAATAACTTATCATGTTACTATTACTTTACATCGTATATATTACTATTTAAAGTAAAATCTTATTCATTCTATACGATATTCCTAAATAATTTTTTTCAACGATATAAGGTATATTTTAAATAAGTAATTAAATTAATACATGTACACAAATTACCTGTAAAAATTAAGCCCCCAGTTAACCATAGCATTGTCTGGAAAATTAGGAATTGCAATATGCTGCATTTGTTCTAGATATTCTGATACGTTCCAGGTGGAATATAAATCATCTATAATTACTGTAGCAATTTTTTGTGCAAATTCTAAACGAAATGGCGACAATATTTCTTGTACGGGATATTTAAGGGTCGGATCGAACACTATAAATGCCACGAGATGCGTAGAGATTATTGGAGTAACTTTGAAGATGCTCCACATTCTTTTATCATTAATTATATCTGTCTTATTCACCGGCATATTCGATAAAACTATGTGTTTTGAACGATGTTTTATTGCAATCCGAAAGGTAGCTGTTAATTCTGGTTCATCCCAACATGGAAATATTTGTCGAGCACCAATTTTATGAAAACGTGTAGCGGCCATCCACCTATAACATTACAAAAAATGATTTTAATAATGATAATTTTCTAAACGTTGTTGATACAAAAATTTAGAGACTGCAAAATCTACAGCATCTGATTTACAAATTTAAATTTATGAATAAGCTTTTATTGAACAATTTTCAATATATTTAGTTTACGTGTTTATATTATGTGGATTTATTGTTAGTTAAATTTACATGTATTTTTATCACATACTATATTTGCAGTAAACTGTAATATACATATTATATAATATACTTATATAATATCAGTTATAAATATGAAACATAAAATATGATCAAAATAGTTAAAATTTACTGATATTAAAATTGTTATTTAATTATATATGTATATAATATATTATACATATTTGAAAATAACTTGTTAAAATATGTTTAATTAATATTTTGTAATAAATATAGGCAATAAATTTTTATACGTTAAAATATTTATATATTGTTGTAATATAAATATATATTTAATTTATTATACGTCCAAAATTTTTTATAATATTAACGAAATATGTATTTCAATATTTTTTCATTGTAAGATGTTCTTTGCAGTATACGTGCACAGTTTCCGACTTGACAATATATTATTCAAAATATTTTATAATTAGAACTAGTATTGAAAATTATTTTTACAATATTATATAATAATGTACTTTTTAACAACAATACTGTTAATATTTACTTACTTTTTTTCTGTATTGTTTATGTACGTTGTTTGGAAGAAGCTTTCCATCTTGTCATCTACATTACAGTCGAACTCCATTTTCAGAGTATAATGTCCTTGTGATAGTTCTTCAGCGAAATATAGAACGAAAATATGAGACAAAGGATTGTATGATTTTTCCACTAGATCAATCGTCACATACTCGTTGCGTGAATTATGTCGTTGAAAAAATATGTAATTACGAATTTTTATATAAGGTTTTTGTGCATGGAAATCTATAGTTTTTGTCGGATGAATGATCCTAAAATTGATACTGATCATCCCAGAGATAGAAATTATTTTGTAATTTTTCATATTTGTTAGAGATAGACTGATAACATAGTGATCCGGTATTATATCGTTTGATAAATAATAATTAGTGATGTTAGAGACATTGCGTTCTGGTATTTTGTCATCTAGTATATGATGTTTTTTAATGTTGGAATCTTTTACCAAAAAGTTGTTCGCTGTATGAAGACTTGATGCGTCGCAAAATATTAGCCTGCTGATTAATAATAATATTAGGAATGCCATCCCAATTTTTTTCAAGATCTGTAAAAATGTTAAATTTTTTTCTTAAAAGAAAAATGTTATGTTTCTCATTGATATTTTATACGAAACAGGAAACGGACACGGAAAATTATTATTACTATTATTTATAAGATACATAATTATAAAAAAACGTAGATTTAAAGATTTTCGTAATTAAATATTAATACGTAATATATGTGTGTAAATTTATTTTTTTATCCAGATTAAACTGGTTCACACATTTCCGCTGATTATGTGGCTCATTTCTCACTAATACATTTAATGTTATGTAATATAATAACACATTATTGGTACAGATATACAATCAATATAAAATTGATGTTTAAGATCTTAAATTATTTTGCATTTAGTAATTAATTAGGGATACGAAAATATATAACATATAAGAATAGTCATTCCGATCTCTACTGATTACATTTGCAATTATATATGATTTTGTAAATAGATCTAAATATGTTTATAAATATGAAATCTTTTATGTCTGTTCGTTTTATTTCCTTTTTTTTAAATACGTTCTAATCGAACAAAGTTCAAAAAGCTATACAGAAAACAACCAACGTTTGAATAGCATGAAATAGATTTTATTTTATTCTTTACTTATGACTATCTCTTTTTATGTAATTGTCATATATTTTAAAATAAATTAAACCTTAATAAATGTCAAGTTTATATTTGTTACAGCAACTATATCTTTTTTAAAAATTGACGTTTATTGTTCATGCATTGTACTTTCGCCCAAAATATTCAAAAAGTGATGTAATTTTTAATAATATATAAATTTATTAGAAAGTATATCTATTATAAAAGAAATATGTTTTACTAAATTTACACACACATATTATATAAATATGTTTATACATATGTATAAATTTTTACAATGTCCAAGATATAAATTAATGTAAATAGTTTTATATCGATATTATTGTATAATTATTATATAAAATCTAGATTTTTTCTGTATTATTGTATTATGTATAATTATGTATGTATTTTGTTTTTTAAAAAACGGATATTTTAAAAGAAGACATTATACAGATGTAGGGCAGGGACGCGAATCCAGACATATGGATTATTTATTAATTGATTTGCTGAGGATGATTCAAAGAACGGCTCGAATCATTCGACAATATACCCAGATAGCCACAGTAATTATTATGACATCAAAATGCATCATTTTGATGGCAAATGATGCATTTTGACATCAAAATGATGTCATAATAATTACTGTGGCTATCTGGGTACATATTTGCAGATGTATTTTAGAAACAAATTGATACACCTGATTTCTCCGCTTGGTTCTTGTTAACTCTTTTTTGTTCTTGAATTTGTGTTTATATGTCAGGGCTTTTTCAATTTATTATTAAAAAGATTTGTTATGTTTCTGGACTTACCTTATATATTAATATTGATTAAGGTGTTTCTATGTAACAATTAGTTGCAGTCGCATTAACTTATAATATTATCATGAATTTCTAATACGAAGAGATTATTTATACGCTAGAGTAATCTCATCGCTCGGACAGATCACTGAAAACTGACAAAACTGTTCAATATCTGATGTCAATTGTGTCAATATCTGATAAGCTAGCAATGTCAAGTATGTAAATTCTAAGACCTCTGAGTGTTTTGTTGATCTGAAATCATAATTAAATATTGATACATAAACAAAGGTAAAAATACATGTATATACGTATACTTACATTTAACATTATTTTTCTTTTAATTTGTTTTTCTTAAAAAAGAGACACCTAAAATATATTTAATAAAATAAACATAAAATAAACATAAAAAATATTTTTTAACGACCTACAGCATACAACTCATCAAGTGCAACTATATTAGTTATTTCGTTTCATACTATCATGTTATTATATGATGTTAGATTCTAAGCTCAAATTTTTGTTTTTCAAAAAAGTTGTGATTTAAGAACATAGCACTTGATAAGGGCCGAAACCCACGGCCGAAACGTTGTAAATATTCAATAAAATTACTTATTTGCCAGAGTGGATCGATTGAATTATTATCATTATATATATATATATATATATATATATATATATATATATATATGTTTACTTTTCAAATTGTTAAAACCACTAATTGAATATTGATCAATTTATATTAACTCACTATACTTTATTAATTGAATTGTAGATTTAATTTTTAATTTTATTGTCGACTATTTTTGTGTTATGAATGTGTCATGTAAAAATTATCATTTTCGAATTTAAACATGTTACTAATTTTTATCAACATAAATAATGTACTTGTGCGTCCCATCTAAAATAGAAAAATAAAAATTATTCAAAAACAGAGATAAAATTAACTTTCTAAAATATTTATCACCAATTTATCTCATTATTTCTTCTATAATACATATTAGCTAGACATTATATAAAGACAATATATGAGTTTAATATCTTGCAAAGAAATATCTCTTTAAGTTGATGATCTCTGTATATAAAAAATTTAAACATTTCGCATTTCAAGAATACGCATTACGGATGACATTAGAAATAATAAATAAAACTTCGCTTTTTTAGGTTTTTTAATTATTTAATACATTGATATTTTGTTTTATAGTCCATTTAAATAAATACGTTTGAACTTTAGTTAAACCAGAAATAAGATTTTACTAAAATAATAATAATAAGTCTAGAACTTATATTATAAAGATTATAAATATTTTTTCGAAAATGTTTTAACTTTTTCTTATTTGATTGCAAGTATTGTATACAAAACTGTATACAAAATTGTATATAAATTACGTATAAACGTTTATTTATATCAGTGTACAGTGTATATATGTTGTAAATATTTTTGCTTAAATTTATTGCTGAAGCCAAAAATGTGTAAACAATAAATTAAAAATGATATTACTGCATATTTTTGCAATATATGTAATTTCGAATTCTTCTGAAAGACACTGTGAGGTTGATGCAAGAAATAGAAAAGATAGAAGTTCCAGAGGTAAATTGTTATTTTCTCTATTTTTGTATTCTCTTTTTATAAAAAATTTATTTAATTTAAAAATAATTTTCAACAATGTGGCAAATTTAATCTTTGATATGGCAAATAAATAACAAATAAAGATTTAACAAGTAAAGAACATATCATAGATGCATACATATAAATATGCTCACTCTAACTAAAATAGAAGAAGGTATATTATCACATTTAAAATATAATATATATATTTTAATAGTATTGTTTATTTAGTATAAATAATTGTATTGTTAAATAATATCTACAGATATTAAAATAATAGCATTAATACTTGATATAGCTGTACAAAAAGGTTTATAAAAATAAGATTTATAAAAATTATTGCTACTTAAATGTCATTCAAATATAAAAATAAAATTAAATAATTTTATTACAAGCTTTATTTGTCTAATATATTAATGATCAACAGATATTAACTTAAAAATAAATATATAAATCTGTTTTTAAGAATTTTAATATTACAAATTATACAATATTACAAATGTTATTAATGTATTAAGAATATTGAAACAAATATTTGACGTTAGCTTTTCAAATTTAAAATTAATATTAACAATTTTATATTAGTCATAATAATTATTAAAAAAGTTAATAATATATGTTAATATAATATAATATGGAAAAGTAACAATTAAAAATATATTTAATATTAAAGTAATTAATCTTTAATAATAATGATAAAAATATTAAATATAATTTAAAAACATATAATGAAAAGTAATGTATCCAATCAAGACTAAAATAATGATATGAATACTTATTCATAATATGTACAATTGTGGCAGTTGTTATTCTTTATTGTCTCGTATTAGTTAGTCATTCTGTTCTATCATAAACGTTTCAGATCATTGTATAGAGTTTTAATTTGATCCCAACGCATTATTATTTTCTGTTGAACTTTCGGATATAGTTCTTTCAGGTTGTTAAACACAAAGTTTTTATCTAAAAAAATTATATTGGTATTATACACGTTAAAATAACTAGTATTTTATGATACCGCTCAAGCGTAATCTTTTAATAAGCTGCAAGTATTATAATCTTTCGTATATTACATAATATAAATGTATGTATATATATATATATATATATATATATATATAGATTATTAAAATAAGTTTATATCAAAATTTGATTGTATATAAGAGATTGATATCTAAATATATGTTTTATACTTGGATTTATATTTACCTGTCGAAGTTGTATATTTATATAGACGTTATTAATAATATTAATTAATGCTGCAACTGTACTTATCTCTCTACACAAATAAAACAAATTGTAGTAAAGACTCAACTTATATAATAACATATAAACTGTCATGATTACGAAGAACATATATTTATAAAAAATATTTTACCTAGGTTTAAGCTTCTCAAAATTAGATAATATATAGTAAAGCACTTTATAATTCTGTGCATGCTTTGTAATAAGTAAAGAAAACACTTTAATATGGTCTCTAACTTGTAAACTTGAAAAGGTAGGTCTTTCAGTAAGATTTGGATCGTCTCCCTTTCTTAGCATCAATTTGATTGCCGCTTCATTTGTAGTGCAACACAAAAATTCTAAAATTCTACTAGATTCCTTTGCATCAGATGATTCGAGCCATAAATGTAATACATTTGACCACATACCGTAGTCGTGACCCATACCGTGACAGAATGTCCATGTTTTCCACCACGGCAAAATCCTACATACAAAAAAAAATTATATAATTTTAAAAATAATGCGCAACGCATTGAAAAAAATTATTTTAATGAAACTGTTACAAAAAATTACCTGTTCCTAGAAGGAGACTTAATATGCCTTGTCAAATCATTATTGGCTCTCTTTTTACACTCCTTGTAATCAAAAACACACGCCCATTTTGCAATTTCTTGCTTCAAACACTTAGTAAGATCATCATTTTTGCTATATTCTTTAAAATTTATGTTCTTTGTAGTTATTACAAGGAATAAATTCTGTATATCGTTCTAAAAAGAAGTTAAACAAATGAATTTTATTATGATAAAAACAGAACAATGAAAACATGAGAGAGCAATTGTCCATTATAATATTTTATTAAGAATAATTGACAATAAAAAAATTAATGAAAAAATTGAATTACATAATAATTAAAATTTTTTCTCGCAATAATGCAAATCGTAATAATGCAACGGAAAAATACAGTTACTCTTTTTTTAATGGAATCATTCAGTTAAAATTGCATAAACTAAATTTTATAAATAATATGTATGCATAAAAAATGAAAGAAAATATTGAAGACATTAAAGAAATGAATGTTTTGTGTAATATTTGAAAAGAGTCGATTAAAGCTGATTTTGTGTGCGTTAATGCAATGACCTTATAAATAATATTTCTTATTGAAAAAAATGTATTGTAATTTACCTTTATTTTGTTGGCTTTGTAAAATTTAAGTGGCAGAATTCTTGATATATATTCAAAAGCTTTGAACATGGGATACCATGTTATGTATTCTACTTCTGCCTTTAGAAATTTTGACATTTTCCAGAATATTTCGGAATTGAGTTGGCCTGCTATCATGGAGTGGAACGCATCATCGATTAAGTTTGCCTTACTTAAGACAGGCAATTTTATTCGTTTATGAGGATTTCTTAAATCTTTAGGAACCAAAAAATGTATAATCCTATGCCATATTGGAATATCATAGTTGACACGAAAATATCCTGTCGTGTAAAAGAAATTTTACAAATAGTATAATTATAATTATAAAGTTTATATTAGATTTTGAGTTTATCATGTTTTGTCGAATATCTATATCTTTTTCTTTTTTATATTTAAAGAGCTATATCATAAGAACTGTATTTAAAAGTTAGTAAATTACCCAGATAGCCACAGTAATTATTATGACATCAAAATGATGTCATAATAATTACTGTGGCTATCTGGGTATATAAAATAAATTAGTTGGAAATTATTAAATATAACTTCGTATAAAATATTATTTTATATTAATAATTGTGCATATACAATTGTAAGAAGTTATTTAATTTTAAACTCAATAATAGTAACACAGACTCGCGTAACGTTAATATACAAATGTTATGTCATTTTATTGAATTTTATTATATTCTTGCAAAAGGTGTGTTATATGTTGCAACCTTAGTTTTTATAAATAGTAATACAAGTATAAAATGTAGGCTAGATATATAACAAAATTTCGATTATATATACAAAGATAAATATATAAGGATATATTTATTTAGTAATATTCACCTCTAACCGATAAGTTGAGTAATTCTTTGATAATATCTTTTTCGTTATCTTGTATTGGAAATTTGATTATTATCGGTTTACTGGAAAGTTGCTGAAATGTAGTGCCATTATCAATCGTAGATGAACCCCATGATTTCTCAGTAGTACGAATGCTTACAGGTATCCACCAATCAGTCTCCAGATGCGATTCATTTAAATTTTCTAACGATATTATGATCTTTGTGGTATCCTGATGATCTCGTTTAATTTTTAGTACAGGATACTGCGATTGAGTTGTCCAAGAATGCATTATTCGTGCTACATTTATATATTTGTAGAATGAATGATTCCGATGTTTATTGTAAACACTTTGCATAGCTGACCAGAAATTGTCGAGACTTACAGTTTTATATTTACTAATTAAAAAAAAAACACACATTTTAAATGAACATTGCGATACAAATTTTTATCAGATAAAATTATTACTTATTTAAACACATAATGAATACACATAGTGCATGAAGTAATATATAATTTATGAATATATTCTTTTTAAATAAGTTTTATATAATTTCAAATATTTTTTTTTAATTTTATAAAAAGAATCAAGATATAATTGTTGAGTTAAAACGTTGCAATTATTACTTACTAGTTTCGAAAGTATTTTTTAATACCATGTCGAGTAATATAATTGGAAAGTATGTTTCGCATCATGTTTAATATTGTAAAAGCTGCAAGGATCCATAATTTTTAATATAATTAGAAGTCTTAAAATATATTTATTTTAAAATTTTTAATTAAATTTATAAATATTACTTCTCTGTGATCTTTTATAACAATTTTGTTCAGAAAAATTTCGATCAACAACAAATTTAAATTTAAATACTTAGTCTTACCTTTCGCATAATAGGGATATGAGAAAATTGAATTAGTTTCAGAGGTGTCGATAATTTTCGATGTTAGAGGCTTCAAAAGACCGCAATCCAAATGAAGAGATTCGTATCGATTTTGAAATGTAAACAAATCCATTATTTGCAACTTGGGGAGAATCTGTATTTGGAAAATTGAAAACAAAAAAATCTTTAAATATTTAATCTAATTAATGTCTATTAATTATAATAAATATTTAATCATAAAATGCCAATAGGTCCTGTATTTAGCATCTTATTATTGTCGAAAATATTTTTGCTATTTTCAAATATTAAGTACAGAAATATATTCAAGTTTTTTCAAACTTATTCCAAATAATAGATATTATTCTAAATTTAACATATATCTCCAATTTTCTGATCGATCTAATAAGAATTTATTGAAATTGAATAGAATCTCAAATTCTTTATATATCTTATTTTTAGTAGACGAAGAGAATTTACAAGAAATATATAAAAGGATATACTATGAAACAACCTTATTGATAATTTGAATTCCAAGCATCATAGGAATACCATCGTTCAACCAAAGAGAAGACCACGAGGACGGGCTGACCAGATTATAAAGCATTTGTTGCATTATTTTGTATGCCAATAAATGCGCTACCTCTATTTTACGCATTACAGGATCTTTTTCTTCTTCATAGATAATATCGGATAATCTACAAAATCGATTCTTATTATTATATACGTATGCGTAATTTAAATGTATCACAATTTATTTATAATGCAACTATACATCAATTCCAAAAAATCAATCAAAAATTATACGTGCGGCAAAAATTTATTGTTAGATAAGCACGTTCTTGTTTTTAATAAGATTAAAAAATAAATTACCATGTTACTATTTTATTTCATATTATATATTATTTTATTTCATATTATATATTTTATTTCATATTATATATTACTATTTTATTTCAAATTATATATTATTTTTTAAAGTAAAATCTTTGCTTTTTGTTCGATATTCCCGTATAATTTTTTTTATTGATTTAAGTTATATATTTTAAATAAGTATATACATATATATATATATATATATATGTACTAGTTACCTATAAAAATTAAGCCCCCAGTTCACTACAACCTTGTCTGGGAAGTTTGGAATTGCAACATGCTGATTTTTTTTAACATCTGTTAATATATACCAGATAAATTGCACATTATACGCAATTTCATAAGAAATATATTGTGCAAATCTTAAATAAAATGGCGACAATATTTCTTCTTGGGGATGTTTATAAATCGGATTGAACACCATAAATGCCACGAGATGAGTAGAGATTATTGGAGTAACTTTGAAGATGCTCCACATTCTTTTATCATTAATTATTTTTGTCTCATTCACTGGCATATTCGATAAAACCATGTGTTTTGAACGATGTTGTATTGCAATCTGAAAGGTAGCTGTTAATTCCGGTTCATCCCAACATGGAAATATTTGTCGAGCACCAATTTTATGAAAACGTGTAGCGGCCATCCACCTATAACATTACAAAAAATGATTTTAATAATGATAATTTTCTAAACGTTGTTGACACAAAAATTTAGAGACTGCAAAATCTACAGCATCCCATTTACAAATTTAAATTTATGAATAAGCTTTTATTGAACAATTTTCAATATATTTAGTTTACATGTTTATATTATATGGATTACGTTAAATCTAAGCGTATTTTTATCACATAATGTATATGCAGTAAGCTGTAATATACATATTATATAATATCAGTTATAAAATATGAAACATAAAATAAGCTCAATAGAGTTAAAATTTGCTGTTATTAGAATTGTTATTTAATTATATATGTATATAATATTGTACATATTTGAAAATAACTTGTTAAAATATGTTTAATTAATATTTTGTAATAAATATAGGCAATAAATTTTTATACGTTAAAATATTTATATATTGTTGTAATATAAATATATTTAATTTATTATACGTCCAAAATTTTTTATAATATTAACGAAATATGTATTTCAATATTTTTTCATTGTAAGATGTTCTTTGCAGTATACGTGTACAGTTTCCGACTTGACAATATACTATTCAAAATATTTTATAATTAGAACTAGTATGGGAAATTATTTTTACAACATTATATAATAATGTAGTTTTTAACAACAATACTGTTAATATTTACTTACTTTTTTTCTGTATTGTCTATGTACGTTGTTTGGAAGAAGCTTTCCATCTCGTCATCTACATTACAGTCGAACTCCATTTTCAGAGTATAATGTCCTTGTGATAGTTCTTTAGCAAAATATAGAACGGAAATATGAGACAAAGGATTGTATGATATATCCACTAGTTTAGTCCTTACATACTCGTTGCGTGAATAATGTCGTTGAAAAAATATGTATTTATAAATTTTTATATAAGGTTTTTGTGCATGAAAATTTATAGTTTTTGTCGGATGAATGATCCTGAAATCGATACTGATTATCCCGGAGATAGAAATTATTTTGTAATCTTTCACATTTGTTAGAGATAGGTTGATAAAATAGTGATCCGGTATTATATTATTTGATAAACGATAATTAATGATGTTAGAGACATTGCGTTCTGGTATTTTGTCATCCAGTATATGATGTTTGTTAATGTCGGAATCCTTTACCGAAAAGTTGTTCACTGTATGAAGACTTGATGCGTCGCAAAATATTAGCCTGCTGATTAATAATAGTATTAGGAATGCCATCCCAATTTTTTTCAGGATCTGTAAAAATGTTATATTTTTTTTAAAGAAAAATGTTATGGAATTCAACGTTTACAGTTTTCTCATTGACATTGTATACGAAACAGGGAACGGACACGGAAAATTATTATTGCTATTATTATAAGATACATAATTTTTTTTAAAACAAACGTAGATTTAAAGATTTTAGTAATTAATTATTAATACGTAATATATGTGTGTAAATTTATTTTTTTATCCAGATTAAACTGGTTCATACATTTCCGCTGATTATGTAGCTCATTTTTCACTAATACAGTTAATGTTATGTAATAAAATAACACATTATTGGTACAGATATACAATCAATATAAAATTGATGTTTAAGATCTTAAATTATTTTGCATTTAGTAATTAATTAGGGATACGAAAATATATAACATATAAGAATAGTCATTCCGATCTCTACTGATTACATTTGCAATTATATATGATTTTGTAAATAGATCTAAATATGTTTATAAATATAAAAGCTTTATTTATGTCTGTTTGTTATATTTCCTTTTTTGTAATACGTTCTAATCGAACAAAGTTCGAAAAGTTACCAAACCACGTTTGAATAGCATGAAACTGAATTTATTTTATTTCTTATTGAACTGTCTCTTTTTATTTAATTGTCATATATTTTAAAATAAATTGAATTATAACGAATGTTACGTTTATATTTGTTACAGCATCTATATCTTTTTTAAAAATTATTATTTATTGTTCATGCATTGTGCTTCTGCTCAAAATAATCAAAAAGTGATGTAATTTTTAATAATATATAAATTTATTATAGAGTATTCCTGTTATAGAAAGAAAATTGATTTACTAAATTTACACACACATATTATATAATTATGTATATGCATATGTATAAATTTTTACAATCCAATATATAAATTAAATTAAATAGTTTTATAACGAAATTATTATACTATTATTATGTAAAATCTAGATTTTTTCTGTATTGTTGTATTATGTATAATTATGTATAAGAGGTTTGGGTACGCTCCTCTAAAAAGCGCCTTCAATCACTGAAGGGGTGAATAAAGTATCTATTTATCTATGTATAATTATGCATGTATTTTCTGTTTTCTAAAATATTGATTTTTTAAAAGAAGACATTACACAGATGTAGGACAGGGATGCAAATACAGACATTTGGATTATTTATTAATCAATCTGCTGAGGATAGTTTAAAGAACGGTTCGAAATATTCAATATACATATTTACAGATGTATTTTAGAAACAAATTTGATACACCTAATTTCTCCGCTTGATTCTTATTACCCCTTTTTTGTTCTTGAATTTGTGTTTATATGTCAGGGCTTTTTCAATTTATTATTAAAAAGATTTGTTATGTTTCTGGACTTACCTTATATATTAATATTGATTAAGGTGTTTCTATGTAACAATTAGTTGCAGTCGCATTAACTTATAATATTATCATGAATTTCTAATACGAAGAGATTATCTATACGCTAGAGTAATCTCATCGCTCGGACAGATCACTGAAAACTGACAAAACTGTTCAATATCTGATGTCAATTGTGTCAATATCTGATAAGCTAGCAATGTCAAGTATGTAAATTCTAAGACCTCTGAGTGTTTTGTTGATCTGAAATCATAATTAAATATTGATACATAAACAAAGGTAAAAATACATGTATATACGTATACTTACATTTAACATTATTTTTCTTTTAATTTGTTTTCCTCAAAAAAGACACACATTTACAAAAAAATGTATTCCATATATTTGTACTTGTTATTTCTTTCTTTTTACTATATAAAAAATATTTCTTAACGATCTACAGCATACAAGTCATCAAGTGTAACTTGTATAAAATAACATGCTAGAAATCAACAAATTAATTTTTATATATATATTGTTTGCTTCTCAAATTGTTAAAACCACTAAACGAATAGCTTTATTGATCAATTTATATTAACTCACTATACTTTATTAATTAAATTGTAGATTTAATTTTTAATTTTATTATTGACTATTACTGTGTTATAAATGTCATATAAAAATGTCATATAACAATTATCATTTACGAATTTAAACATATGTTACTATTTATATGAACATAAATAATATACTTATGTGTTCCATCTAAAATAGGAAAATAGAAATTATTCAAAAACAGAAAGAAAATTAACTTTCTAAAATATTTATCACCAATTTTTCTCATTATTTCTTCTATAATACATATTATCTAGACATTATATAAAGACAATATATGAGTTTATTGTCTTGCATAAAAATATATTTCTTTAAGTTGATGATCTCTATATATAAGAGATTTTAAATTATAAATTACGTATAAACGTTTATATATAACAAAATTATAAATTATAAATTACGTATAAACGTTTATTTATAACAAAATTATAAATTATAAATTACGTATAAACGTTTATTTATAACAGTGTACAGTGTTATAAATATTTTTGCTTAAATTTATTGCTAGAGCCAAACGTATGTAAACAGTAAATCAAAAATGATACTACTGCATATTTTTGCAATATGTAATTTCGAACTTCTGAAAGACACAGTGAAATTGATACAATTCCAGAGATAAATTGTTATTTTTTTTATTTTTGTATTCTCTTTTTAATAAAAATTTAAAAATAATTTGCAACAAATGTGGCAAATTTAATCTCTGATATGGCAAATAAATAATAAATAAAGATTTAGCAAGTAAAGAACATATCATAGATATATAGATATACATATATATATATATATATAAATATGTACATTCTACTAGAATAGAAGAAGGTATATTATCTCATTTAAAATATAATATATATTTTAAAAGTATTGTTTATTTAGTATAAATAGTTGTCTTGTTAAATAATATTTACAAATATTAAAATAATAGCATTAATACTTGATATATCTGTACAAAAAGGTTTACAAAAATAAACTATTGCTACTTAAATGTTATTCAAATATAAAGATAAAATTAAACAGTTATATTACAAGTTTTATTTGTGTAATACATTAATGATAAACAAATATTACCATAGAAATAAATATATAAATAATTTTTTTTAAGAATTTTAATATTACTACAAAATTGTACGAATTTATAAAAATGTTATTAATATATTAAAAATATTAAAATTAACATTTTATGTTTGCTTTCAAATTTAAAATTAATATTAACAATTTTATATTAGTCATAATTATTATTAAAATCGTTAATAATAAATGTTAATATAATAATATAGAAAAGTTAAAGAAACAATTAAAAATATATTTAATATTAAAATGATTAAGCTTCAATAATAATGATAAAAATATGAAATATAATTTAAAAACACATAATGAGAAATAATGTATAAAACTAATTGTAAGACCAAACAAATGATATAAATACTTATCCATATCATATACAGTTGTTGCAGTTGTTATCGTTTATTGTCTTGTATTAGTTGATCATTCAGATTTTATTCTGTTCTATCATAAAAAATCCAGATCATCGAGTAGTCTTTTAATTTGTTCCGAACGTATTCCCATTTTTTGTGTAATTTTGTAATATAGTTCATTTGTATATAGGTTTTTAAACACAAATTGATCTATCTAAAAAAATTATATTGGCATTATGCACATTAAAATAAGTAGTATTTTATGATACTGCTCGAGCGTAATCTTTTAATAAATCACAAGTATTATAGTCTTTCGTATATTACATAATTTTTTTTATATGATTTGAAGAAAAAAAGATGTGTATATATATATATATATATATATACATACATATATGTTTATAAATATATGTATATGTATACATATATATGTATACATATACAGAGTGTCCCATAATTCGCGAATCACCTTTCATGGACAGATAGAGCGTGTTAAACTGAATAGAAAAATCCTGTATCATTTTGCGATATTCGCAATAATTATTGAGTTATTAACTAAAATATCTAAACGAATGAGCGGGTAGAAAGCGGTAGGCCGGAATCGGTGTGCATGTCGGATGACTTATTTGTTATATGCCGCTTAGTATCAAAAGTATCATCTTACTTTTCGGCGCCACTACATTGGTCGCCGCTCGCTGCATGACACTGACTCTCGATCAAATAAATTTCTACCTGCTTATTCGTTTAGATATTTTAATAAATAAATACTCAATAATTATTTTAATAATAACTCAATAATTATTGCGAATATCGCAAAATGATACATGAATTTTCTATTCAGTTTAACACGCTCTATCTGCCCAAGAAAGGTGATTCGCGAATTATGGGACACCCTGTATATTTATATAGATCATTAAAATAAGTTTATATAAAAACTTGATTGTATATAAGAGATTCATATATAAATATATGTTTTAGTTGGATTTATAATATTTACCTGATAATCGAGTCCCATAACTGAATAAACGTGATTAATAATAATAATTAATGCTGCAGCTATACTTATCTCTCTACACAAATAAAACAAATTGTAGTAAAGACTCAACTTATATAATAACATATAAACTGTCATGATTACGAAGAACATATATTTATAAAGAATATTTTACCTAGGTTTAAGCTTCTCAAAATTAGATAATATATAGTCAAGCACTTTATAATTCTGTGCATGCTTTGTAATAAGTAAAGAAAACATTTTAATATGGTCTCTAACTTGTAAACTTGAAAAAATATTTCTTTCAGAAAGATTTTGATCGTCTCCCTTTCTTAGCATCAATTTGATTGCCGCTTCATTTTTAGTGCAACACAAGAATTCTAAAATTCTACTAGATTCTTTTGCATCAGATGATTCGAGCCATAAATGTAATACATTTGACCACATACTGTAGTTGTTACCTATACCGTGACAGAATGTCCATGTTTTCCACCACGGCAAAATCCTAACATACAAAAAAAATTATATAATTTAAAAAATAATGCGCAACGCATTGAAAAAAATTATTTTAATGAAAGTATTATGAAAAATTACCTGTTTGTAGAAGGCGAATCGAAATGCATTGTCAACTCTTTATTGGCTTCATTTATACATGTATCGTAATCGAAAACACATGCCCATCTTGCAATCTCTTGCTTCAAACACTTAGTAAGATCATCATCGATTCTATATTCTTTAAAATCTATGTTTATCGTTATTACGGAGAATAAATTCTGTACATTTTCCTAAAAAGAAGTTCAACATATGGATTTTATTTATCTTTGTAGGAACAGAACAAAGAAAATATAATTTAGTGTAACTGTTTACTATAATATTTATTTAAGAATAATTAACAGTAAAAAAAATAGATTGAAAAATTGAGTAACGTAATAATTGAGATTTCTTTTCGTAACAATGCAAATCGTAATAATAATGCAACGGAAAAATACAGTTACTTTTTTTTTAATGGAATTATTCAGTTAAAATTGCGTAAATTAAATTTTATAAATAATGTATTTATAAAAATAATGGAATAAAATGTTGAAGAAATGAATGTTTTGTTAAATGTTTAAAAATAGTCGATTAAAGCTGATTTTGTGTGCGTTAATGCAATCATCTTATAAATAATATTTCTTATTAAAATTTTTTTTATAATTTATCTTGTGTGTGTGTGTGTGATTCTTTGGATTTCTTCTTTTGAAAAAATATTATACTCTATATAAAGTAATTAATGTTCACTTTATAAAACTAAAGAGAGAGTTACATTCTACACACACACACACACACACACACACATGTATATAAATATTTCCATATTCTTTTTGGCTTAAGAATTAATATTATATTTAACCTAATTTTTGTGAAAAAAGATAAGAATTTATCCATTACATAGCTTTTATATTTACTTCCTAATTATCTAATAATTCTCGATTAAAACTGATATTATAAATGCAACAAACTCGTAAATTATACCTAATACACACTTTTTATTAAAAATTATGTATTGTAATTTACCTTTATTTCGTCGACTCTGTTTGAATAAAGTGGCATGACTCTCGATATATATTCAAAAACTTTGAACATGGGATACCATGCTATGTATTCCACTTCTGCCTTTAGAATGTTTAACACATTCCAGAATATTTTGCGATCGAGTTGGCCTGCTTGCATGAAGTGGAACGCATCATCGATTAAGTTTGCTTTAATTAAGGCAGGCAATTCTATTTGTTTATGACTATTTTTTAAATCTTGAGGAACCAAAAGATGTATAATCCTATTCCAAATTAGATTATCATAGTTGACACGAAAATATCCTGTCGTGTAAAAGAAATTTTGCAGATATATATATATATAGAATATAATTATAATTATAACGTTTATATTAGATTTTGAGTTTATCATGAAATTTGGTCGAATATCTGTAACTTTTTCTTTTTTGTATTTAAAGACCTATATTATAAGAACTGTTTTTAAAAATTGGCAAATTGTATAAAAGAAGTTAATTGTAAATTATTAAATATAAATTCATATAAAATATTATTTTATATTAACAATTGTGCATATACAATTATAATAAGTTATCTAATTTTAAACTCAATAATAGTAATACATAGACTAGCGTAACAATAATATACATATGTTATGACATTTTATTGAATTTTATTATATTCATGCAAAGATGTGTTATATGTTGCAACCTGAGTTTTTATAAAAAGTAATACATGTATATAATATAAGCTAGATATATAACAAAATTTCGATTATATGTATATACAAAGATAAATACATAAGGATATATTTATTTTGTAATATTTACCTTTAAACGATAAGTTGAGTAATTCTTTGATAATATCTTTTTCGTTATATTCTACTGGATATTTGATCATCATCGGTTTACTGGAAAGTCGCCGAAATGTACTGCTATTATAGATCGTAAATGAACCCCATAATTCGTTAGTAGTATGAATGATTACAGGTATCCACCAATCAGTCTCCAGTTGTGGCTCATTAAAATTTTCTAACGATATTATTATCTTTTTGGGATCCCTATAATTTAGTTGTTTAATTTTTAGTACACAATACTGCAATTGAGTTGTCCAAGGATTCATTATTCGTGATAAGTTTATGTATTCGTCTGAATCATTACGATATTTATTGTAAGCAGTTTCCATAGCTGACCAGAAATTGTCGAGACTTGCAGTTTTATATTTACTAAATTTAAAAATGCAACATTTTAAATAAACTTTGTTGTACAAATTTTTATCAGATAAAATTATTACTTATTTAAATACATAATAAATACACATAGTGCATGAAGTAATATATAACTTCTAAATGTATATTTTTTAAATAAATTTTATACAGTTTTAAATATTTTTTATAATTTTATAAAAAGTATCGAGATATAATTGTTAAACTAACGTTGCAATTATTACTTACTAGTTTTGAAAGTATATTTCAATACCATATTGAATAACATAATTGGAAAACATGTTTCGCATGATGTTCAATATTGTAAAAGCTGGAAGGATCCATATCATTTAATATAATTAGAGAAGTTTTTAAAATATATTTATTTTAAAGCTCTTATAAATAAGTGAACATAACTGATTTTGCAGAGAAAAATTAATTGAAGTAATTATACATATCTATTTATATTTTTACAACAGAATTGTATATTAATTAATTGGAATTAAATTTGCTAATATTACTTTTTGGTGTGTCTTTTTAACATTTTTGTTCAGAAAAATTACGATCAACAATAAATTTATATTTAAATACTTAGCCTTACCTTTTGCATAATAGGGATATGAAAAAATGGAATTAATTTCAGAGGTGTTGGATTTCGATGTTAGAGGCTTCAAAAGACCGCAGTCCAAATGAAGAGATTCATATCGATATTGAATTGTAAACAAATCCATTATTGAAGATTTTTGCAAAATCTATATAAGAAGTTAAAAATGAAAAAGAACTTGTGATTTTCTAATATTAAATGAATAAATATTTAATTATAATATACATGCTCGTATTTAGTATCTCATTATTGTCGAAAATATCTTTGCTATGTTTATGTATTAAGTACAGAAATTTATTAAAATTTTTTGAAGCTTATTTCAAATAATAGAAATTATTCTAAATTCAATAATATATATCTCCAATTTTCTAAACAAACTAAGAATTTATTGAAATTGAATAGAATCTCAAATGTTTTACACATCTTATTTTCAGTAAACGAAGAGAATTTATAAGAAATATATAAAATAATATATTTGAAGATAACCTTATCGAGGATTTGAATTCCAAGCATCATAGGTATACCTTCGTTCAACCAAAGAGAAGACGAGGACGGGCTAACTAGATTAGAAAGAAATTGTTGCAATATTTTGTGTGCCAATAAACGCGCTACCTCTATTTTGCGCATCACAGGATCTTTCTCTTCTTCATAGATAATATCGGATAATCTACAATATCATTTCTTATTATTATTTAAGTATGCCTAATTTAAATGTATCACAATTTATTTATCTATATATCATTTCAAAAAAATCAATCAAAAATTATACGTGCGCTAAAAATTTATTGATAGACAAGCACATTCTTGTTTTTAATAAAGTTAAAGGATAAATTACTATGTTATTATTTTGTTTCATATATTATATATTATTTTTTAAAGTAAAATCTTTGCATTCCATTCGATATTCCCGCATAATTTTTTTATTGATTTAAGTTACATATTTAAATAAGTATATACCCAGCTAACCATTTGCTTGGAAATTGTTAACAATCGGGAAACAAAATACGACCAAATATGGCTGCAAATCCAGGGCCTACTGTGTCCTCGAGTGCGCTCCAATTGCAATCAAAAGTTGAAAGTATATTCTAACATCAAGTTGGGTGCAACGCCAGAGCAGATCTGTCACTAACAGTGCGACGACAGATTGGCAATAGACTGGGAACAGATTTGTCAATCGTAAATTAAGGACAGATTTGCGCCAAATGTTCAGCAAATCGAAGAAAAATCCTAGATCTGAAGGATCTGCTGCATTTTTGGCATCAATCTGTTGTCAATACTTTCGACAGATCTGCTTGCTACTCATTGCCACTTTGTCAATATAGTCTGCTAACAGATGTTGGGAAATATTTACTAAATTTATGCTCACAGTGTTTGTAATGACAAAATATGTTTCTTATCTGCGGCCATTTTACATAACAAAAGTTGTTGCTTACATTTGCCTCCGCAGAAATAGTTAGCTGGGTATATATATATATATATATATATATATATATGTATTAGTTACCTATAAAAATTAGTCCCCCAGTTTACCATAGCATTGTGTGGGAAATTAGGAATTGCAACTTGCTGCATTTCTTTAACATCTGTTGGTATATGCCACATCAATTTCACATTATATATGATTTCATAAGAAATATATTGTGCAAATATTAAATAAAATGGTGACAATATTTTGGGATAATATTTGACATTTGTGAGGATCAGATCGAACACCATAAACGCCACGAGATGAGTAGAGATTCTTGGAGTAACTTTGAACGTGGTGCACACTGTATTAAATGAAATTATATCTGTCTTATCCACCGGCATATTCGATAAAACCATGTGTTGTAAACGATGTTTTATTACAATGCGAAAGGTAGCTTTTAATTCTGGTCCATTCCAACATGGAAATATTTGTCGAGCACCAATTTTATGAAAACGTGTAGCGGCCATCCATCTATAACATTACAAAAAATTATTTTAATAATGATAATTTTCTAAACGTTGTTGTTACAAAAATTTAGACTGCAAAATCTACAGCATCCGATTTGCAAATTTAGATTTATGTATAAGCATTTATAGAACAATTTTCAAAATATTTAGTTTCCATGTTTATTTTATGTGAATTAAATTAAAGCTACACGTATATTTATCACATATGATATTTGCAGTAAACTGTATATATATATATATATATATATATATATATATATATATTATACAATATGCTTATATAATATCAGTTATAAAATATATAAAACACAAAATAGGCTCAAAATAGTTATAATTTGCTAATATTAAAATTTTTATTGAATTATATATGTACATAATATTATACATATTTAACAATAACTTGTTAAAATATGTTTAATTTTTATTTTGTAATAAAAACATGCAAGAAATTTTTATACGGTAAAATATATGCATATATATATATATATATATATATATATATATACATATGTTGTAATATAAATATATTATATTATACGTACAAAATTTTTATAGTATTAACGAAATATGTTTTACAATATTTTTGTTGTAAAATGTTCTTTGCAGTATCTGTCTAGAGTTTCCGACATGACAATATATTATTCAAAATATTTTATAATTAGAACTAATATTGAAAATTGTTTTTATAACATTATATAATAATGTAGTTTTTAACAACAATACTGTTAATATTTACTTACTTTTTTCTGTTTTCTTTATGTACGTTGTTTGGAACAAGCTTTCCATCTCGTCATCTACATTACAGTCGAACTCCATTTTCAGAGTATAATGTCCTTGTGATAGTTCTTCAGCAAAATATAGAACGAAAATATGAGACAAAGGATTGTATGACTTTTCCACTAGATCAGTCGTCACATACTCGTTGCATGAATTATGTCGTTGAAGAAATATGTATTTACGAATTTTTATATAAGGTTTTTGTGCATGAAAATTTATAGTTTTTGTCGGATGAATGATCCTGAAATCGATACTGATTATCCCGGAGATAGAAATTATTTTGTAATCTTTCACATTTGTTAGAGATAAGTTGATAAAATAGTGATCCGGTATTATATCATTTGATAAACGATAATTAGTGATGTTAGAGACATTGCGTTCTGGTATTTTGTCATCCAGTATATGATGTTTGTTAATGTTGGAATCTTTTACCAAAAAGTTGTTTGCTGTATGAAGACTTGATGCGTCGCAAAATATTAGCCTGCTGATTAATAATAGTATTAGGAATGCCATCCCAATTTTTTTCAAGATCTGTAAAAATATTATACTTTTTTCTTAAAAGAAAAATGTTATGTTTCTCATTGATATTTTATACGAAACAGGAAACGGACACGGAAAATTATTATTACTATTATTTATAAGATACATAATTAAAAAAAAACGTAGATTTAAAGATTTTCGTAATTAAATATTAAGAGGTAATATGTGTGTAAATTAATTTTTTTATCCAGATTGAACTGAGTTACACATTTCTGCTGATTATGTGGCTCATTTTTCACTAATAAATAGTTATGTAATATAATAACACATTATTTGTATAGATAAACAATTGAAATAAAATTGATATTTAAGATCTTAAATTATTTTGCATTTAGTAATTAAAATTAGGCATACAAAAATATATAACATACAAGAATGCATGGTCATTCCGAACTCTACTGATTACATTTGCAATTATATATGATTTCGTAAATAGATCTAAATATGTTTATAAATATAAAAGCTTTATTTATGTCTTTTTGTTATATTTTCTTTTTTTGTAATACGTTTTAATCAAACAAAGTTCGAAAAGCTACCAAATCACGTTTGAATAGCATGAAAATGAATTTATTTTATTTCTTGTCATATATTTTAAAATAAATTGAATTATAACGAATGTTACGTTTATATTTGTTACAGCATCTATATCTTTTTTAAAAATTATTATTTATTGTTCATGCATTGTGCTTCCGCTCAAAATAATCAAAAAAAGTGATGTAATTTTTAATAATATATAAATCTATTATAAAGTATTCCTGTTATAGAAAAAAATATGATTTACTAAATTTACACACACATATTATATAAATATGTATATACATATGTATAAATTTTTACAATGTCCAATTTATAAATTGAACGGATTTTTTAAAAGAATACATTACACAGATGTAGAACAGGGACGCGAATTTAGACATATGGATTATTTATTAATCGAGCTGCTGAGTATGATTCAAAGAACGGCTCAAATCATTCAATATACATATTTACAGATATATTTTAGAAACAAATTTGTTGCACCTAATTACTCCGCTTGATTCTTATTAATCTTTTTTTGTTCTTTAATTTGTGTTTATATGTCAGAGCTTTTTTAATTTATTATTAAAGAGAAATTTGTTTTGTTTCTGGACTTACCTTATATATTAATATTGATTATGTTGTTTCTATGTAACAATTAATTGCAGTCGTATTAACTTAGTGTTATGACGAATTTCTAATAAGAAGATATTATCTATATCCTAGAATGATTTTATCGCTCGGACAGATCACTAACAATAAGAACTGACATGGTTGTCGATATCTGATAATCTGATAGGCCAATGTCGTATATATGTAAATTCTAAAGCCGTTGACGTTGTTTTGTTGAAAAATATATCAATATTTATGAAATATAAATAAACTTACGTATTTCTAAATTTAACATCCATTTTTTTAAAATTTGTTTTTTTTCAAAAGAGAGACACACACGTGTTTACAAAATATTTCTGTACCTTGGATGATTTCTAGACAAAAGATTTAAACTTTTGCTTTTCAAGAACATGCATTTAGATAATTTTAGAAAGATAAATAAAACTTTTCTTTTTAGAATCTCATTCTTTCGTATTTTGTTTTAAAAAGATCATGTACACATTTAAAATTCAACTAAAACTATGGTCCTTTTTTTTTTACTAAAATTGAAATAATAATCTAGAATTTACATTTATAGCATAAAGATTATACTTTTCCGACAATGTTTTTACTCTTTCTTATTTTATTGCAAGATTTATTAAACCAGCTTATCAATCAATTTGTATTAACTCGGGTATACTTTTATTGAATCATTATAGAATTTAATTTGTATTTTTATTGCCGATTATTGTGCTCGATATCAATTTTTATTTAAATTTTTATTTGTGACTTTAGGTGTATATATGTTAGTAAGTTGGACAAAAATTGTGGACTTTTATTTGCTAATTAAAATACAAAAATTATTTAAAAATAAATTAATTCAAATATTTATCGTGTAAATTTCTTTATAATTTTATCCTACGTACTTCTTATACATATATAGGATATAAAAAAAGATATTTTAATTATCTGAAGACTACTTCACCATTGGAGATTTTAAGAGCATAGTTTTTTTAAAAATAGTGTTTCTTGTAAATGAAATTGCGCTTTATTTTAACCCGGCATTTTATTTTTTTAAATCTATTTACACAGTTAATATCTATTCAATCAATTTCCAAGCAATATTTTATAGATATATTTTACGTATACACATATACACTGATATGTAAAAATAATAATTGCAAGGAAATTTTTGAAGGAATATCTTGTATTTTCTGAGATTCTTTTATATATTCTTTTTTTTAGAATTGTGAGGAATTTATTTCGTAAAAATTCTAGATTAGTTAAATCTAGATCAACTTGTGTGTCGTGTTTATAAATCCATTCATAATTTTAGTTTTATCTAATTTTCACCCACAGACAATATAAATAAGACAAACAAACAGAAACGAACAATTTAAAAAGATATATGTACGTTTCTTTAATGATTTTTAACAGAATCTTTTAATTGGCTAACAATAAGGTAAAAAAAAATATAGGAAAAGGGCAACGAATCAAATGGTGGCAGATGAACTAACGCAACACACGTGATATATCGGAGTATGAAAATTCATTTTATAAGTCGGTCGGATAATTCTGAAAATAAATTACAGATTTTCGAATAAATGTGTATGTGTTTACATTACTTATTGATATCAAATACAATTATATTAGATAAAATATCCTGCAACAATTACATAAATTTACGACATAGACAAGCACTCGTCTGTCTATACATATGTTGAATTATGCAATTAGAGAGTTTGGATATTTATTTAATATAATAAATCTCTTATTTCATCTATTTTTTTTTCTATTTTTATATGTACAACACGATTCTCGATGAATTAGTTACTGGTAACATTTACTGAAATATACAATTATTTTGAAACTATTAATATTAATCACAATATTTATCTTGGAAATAGCACGGTTGTTTGCAATGCGAGAAGCAATTATAATATTCGTTATTATTTTTGCTTCATCAATTGTATAATAATTGAGGGATACAACTTAACTTACTCATAAAACTACTTATAATTTATTTAAATCAAATAACAAAAAGACTATTAACATTTAAACGCAACACGCTGTATGACTGTTATTGACTGAATTCGTGTATTTGTTCACGAAGCTAAAAGTCCGAAACGAAAAAAGAAAAGAAAAATAATAAGAATTTAACGTAACACACGTATTTTGCTTCCGCGCATGAAACAATCTTATCGTCAATTGTATCTTTGTTCAATAAAGTGTGTCCTAACAATCACAAGACTTTTAAAATTATCTTCGATGCACGTTGCACATTACGATTGAGCCATGTACAATTACAACGGCGACTTACTGCGATAACGCTTTGCATTGTTTACAATTTTCCATTCGTTCATTAAATTCCTCTATCTGTAACGTCATCTCGAAGAATTTGTACTTGTCGTGGATATTTCGTGTGGCAGTGCGTAAGATGTTCTGGGGGCTCGTTCCAGGTTCTGCAAATAGAAGTGTCGCGTTATCCTAATGAGAGATAAATGCTACGAAATGATAAATAAAATTGACCCGAATAATACTCGTATTTGCATGCGGAATATTGTCAGAAAGAGCAAGAATTTATATAAATTTTGTCCTATGTCAGAAAATATAAAAACATTTAAATGTCTACTAAATGATCTCTCGAGAATGTAGATGCTAGGAGTCTAAAAATATAAGTTTCTAGCGTCCCCTAGCATGTACGTTATTTTTAGAGTCGAGAGTAATTGAGTTGCATAAGTGAACTGCATAAATAAGAACTATATATGTTGAATTATATTTTTGGGTAAGAGCGTACTTATAGCGAGATGCGCCGACAGAGCGGTTTTGTCGAGCGAAAGCGCCCAAATTCTAAGATTATGGACCTTAACGACTCCATCTATTTGCATAAACGTGCTTTCCACTTGGGAATACTCGAAACCCTTGGGAATTCCTTCCATCAGAACGTTAACAACATCCTTAATAATCGCTACGGTAGTGAGAATAACTAATATGGAGAAGAGGAACGTACATATAGGATCCACTATGATCCACGTTGGCTGAAATGTAAATTAGTGTTTCATAAAACAATATTTTAAGAGAAAAATATACAGAAGTTAAATTTATCCATCGAATTATATAAATATATACCATTTAACTTTTCGTCATAAAAAAGAAACTTAAGAATTTTTAATATTTATGAAAAAAAAAAAATTATGCAATATATGTATAATTTGTAATAAATTACATAAATGAAAATTTGGTACCTTAAAGTAAATGATTAATGCAGCGATAAATACTCCCACACTTTGAATAAAATCGCCTAAAACGTGAATGAAGGCAGCGCGTACATTGATATTTTTTTTCGAATCTTCCCCTTTGAAATCATCATCGAGCACATTTTCCACGTCATTATTTCCTCCGTGGTCGTGTCCACCACCGTGACTATGGCCATGTTGATGCAACGACAGGCCCATTCTGCAATACCAAATTATTTACTGTATTTCTCTTCAAGGAGAGAAGATGAAAGTGCAATTTTGAAAATTTACAATCGGTACATTTAAGCATGAATTTGCTTATTTTTTTAAATTAAGTGGAACATAATATTAGCGATATTCTTAGAGCATAAATTTTTCATTAAAAATAACAGATTTATAACTCTCGGACTGACATCATCGGCGGTTGCTTAGAGAATGATTCGATTGACGTTGCATTATGCGCATTATAATTCCAATTTTATCGAAATTTTGGAAACCAACGTATACGATCTTAAATACATATGAAAGATACTGCAAAACCGCAAAAAATATTAAATATTTTAGTCGTTAATAGGACATCACTAACACTAGATTTACCGCAACACCAACTGCAGACGTGATCAGCATTACCATAGCATCCAACTCAAAGTTTTTGTGGACGATTCTTTCGACCGCAAGGTATAATAAAATGCCAGTGACCACCCATATTAATAAGACTGAAGTTAACGCGCCGATAACCTGAATTAATGTGCAAAAAAATTTATCATTTTTCATAATAATATATCTATTATTTTTGCAAAAAAAATATATATATATATTATGCTACAAATTACAGAAGCGCATACCATGTGTAAATTTTTCTACATACATTAAATTTCTTTAATAATCCATTGTATATGTATTGAATACATTAAAATGATCACGACTCATTTTATTGCTAATCTCTATTTATGTATATTAATAATTTCATGTATTTATCGATTTCTATTTATTCATTACACATAATATTTTTGAAACTAATTTTATTATGTATAAAAAATTATTATAATTCTATATAATATTATATACATATATAATATTAGTATGAATTTGTCAGTTTTTAATTAATATTTATGTGCAAAAACTATACTTACTTCTGCGCGATACCAACCGAAAGGCATTTTTCTGGTGGCTGGTCTACCCGCCACCCAAATCGAAAATAGAGATATCATAAATGAGGCAAAGTCAGTCAACAAATGTGCAGCATCAGTCGCTATCGCCAAACTATTCGATAATACTCCGCCTGAAGAGAGAAGATCGCGGGTAAACGTCACGATTATATGTTTGCCTTGGTAAATACATTCTACAAAATATTCCTTTGCGCTTTGATAAAGACAATCGGGAATTTGGTTTTATAATTACCGATAATTTCTGCTATCATGAAAATAACGCACAGCACACTGGCGATCAACAACTTCTTTCGGGCCTTCTTGTCAATCTCCTCGTTCCTCTCTCTGTGACAATGATCCTCTGGGGTTACTGAAAATATAAAAAGAGAAAAAGAGACAGTGAGTAATATTTTAAAAAATGGTTAAAAATTTAAACTTATGCGTAATTAAATATCACAATTATTTTGCAGGATATATTATGCTACACATTTTAAAAGCGTGCATTATATAGATGCAAATTCTCTGCATATATTAATTTTCTTTAATACATGATTCATATATGTGATAAATATATTTAAATTATCTTAAAATAACTATTAATTTCAATACATATGCTTTATTCGATATACATTCAATTATCGCTAAACTTTTATCAGTTTAATTAATGTAAGCATAATTTTTCATGTAATTAAAATAATTTTTCAGCTTTTTTGAAGATTTTTCTTCTTTCTTTTTTATCAAAATGTCTAATTTTTTTAAATCTATATGTTTTAATAAATATTAATTATCATTACTTTTTTATGTTTCTTGATTTTTTTGTAAATATATCGTTAATTATTTCTGATGTAAATTATACTTAAAACATACTAGGATTCTGCCGATAGTCCACAGCTGCATTTTCATCAACCGAGCTCTTCACTACTGTGCAACAGCCCGATAATTTTCCATGAACGCAAAAGATCACCTTCCGTGTCGATATTTCACTCTCCTCGTCTTCATTATTATTAGGCGGAATACTCGTTCCGTAACCATAAATCGCCTTGTCCTTGAATCTGTAACCCATTGTAAATTTTTATTTTATTCTACATTAAAATATCACTAAAAATAAAAGGAAGAAGATTGGTTTTACAGAAAAATATTTAACTTTGTCGTGTAAACGCGTCGCTTTAACGCTTTCAATTGGGAGATGAAACACCTTCGATTATAATTTCTTATTTATCAAAAAAATATTGTTACTTTCTTCCCAATCTTGTTCTCATCGCAAATTGTCTACTTTTTTCATATTATGTAACGAAAGAAAGTGATTACGTGTTTGTTGAATAATTGCATATAAATTGCTGCAATGATCCAGATATAAGGAAAAGTTAAATGTCCATATTAAGTCATTCTTCCTTAATAGATAGAAGTTTTATCCTTCAGCCATCATAGTTTTGTGTCATTTTATTTGAAATTAAATTTTTTCCCAATATACATCGAAATGATTTCGATGACAGAATTTATCAATCGACAAATTATTGACACTCACACAAATATCTTAATAATCTCTGATATTCCCCTCTTATATTTTCTCAGATAAAAGCTATACGCAGATACAACTCGTATTTGTGCTTGCTCTACGTGATAAAAAATTATATAAATATTTGTACAAAAAAAACAATCCATTTCCTGACCAAAATCTACAAAAATTGATTGAAAATCTGGGATTCTTGTGTACAACTTTATTAATTTAATTTATATAAGTCATTATAAGTTTTACTTTTAATTTTTTATTAAAAAGGCAGGTTCGCGGAATGCACACAAGTATTTTTAATTATTTAATTATGAGAAAAAGACAGATAAAAAATGAATAAGTATCGGCATTGCGTCGATATCATGAATGTATTTTCATTGTATTTTAATTATACAACTAATTCCATAACGAATCTGATAGAAACATTTAAATGTATAATATTGTACAATAATGTATTGTTGACAACGTTATACACATGCTATATTTAATATCGTAACGTGACATTACGCACGGCTTACAGTTCTTATCGCGTTCTACAAAGTACCATTATCTATAAATTAGATATCAATACTGTTGTGTACATAAATACATGCATCTATTATACACACACATTTTTCTATCATTGACTGTGAGTCAATGATGACAAACGATGCCGTGTGCAAAATCACACGATTGAAAATTATTATCGATACGGATAGCTTCATGTTATTATGTATGTATTGTACATACTGCATCATTATATTGAAAAATACACGAAAAAATAAAATTTGAATTTCTCGTTTTTTCTGAAACAGAAATGCACACTTTTAATTTTTTAAATGAAATTATATAACGCAGAGCTACAGAATTCTAATTTAAATTTTATATAAAATATTATTATATGCATAATACGTAATGCGTAGTATACATTTATTGATCAACTAATAATGCGGAGCTTCTAAATATTGTATAGGATTGACCTGCGAATTATAATATTATAATTAATCATTCTACCTTGCAACAAAATTAAATTATTAAAGTACCAGAGTTATAATTTTGATCACATCGCGAATTACTAATTTCAATTTTTGCTCGCGACCTAATTCGAATAAAATCTGCGCAATGTTTGTATTCTTTTAAAGCGATAGCCTTGGTCTCCATGGAGGCCTATTCGATCTCGAGGCTCCGTCCTTCGGTTAGACGAACCAATTGCACCGTGACCAGATTTTTACGTGAATGCTTTTATCGTTAAATCGAAGTGACCTTAGAAGCCCTTGAATTCAAAAGAGATACGAGGACTCGCAACGAGATATTTATTTCGAGAGTCGCGAACGACATGTCTTGATAAAAATTTCTCTTGGAATATACACAAGTTCCATTCTTATCTTACACTTTTACGTTCGTTAATCAATGAGGAAGTGATGAACAGCCTTACAATTATACGGAAATTCTAGTATTCAATATCATTTTAAATAAAATGAATAAAAGAATAGTCTTGCACGGAATTCACTAATTTTCCAAGATTGTTTTATTATTTTGTCATTAACAACGAAATAATAAAGTTTCTTTTTCTCTCGCAGCAATTATTATATGCTGTAACAAAACCAATTAAAATTTTATTGTACAAATTAGTAGATGTTAGATGTTTATAAGAAAGCTTAATGTTATTAAAAATGTGCGAAATCTTTTTAACTTTTACTGAGATAATTATTTAATGAAATAATTTGTTATGTAATTATTAAAAATACAATATAATAATTAAAAATTTATTTAACAAAATAATATCTCTTCAAATTGTTCACTTGTAATTCTGTGTGATCGATCGATAATTTCCGGATTATCACTGTGAGCTCCTGGATAACCAGGTGTATCAGGTGAATTAAATCGACGATCAATTCGCTCCATCGTCGCCATCGTTATGCGACACCATGTTAGTTTCGTATTAATTATACTGTAATAATACGAGAACAAAACAATACTTGCCGAGAGAGAATCGTTTTCATAGACGCCAACAAGATATTTCCTAGAAAATTGTTGATGAAGAATATGATATCAAGTTAATGTGTGATAGAGGTTTTATAAAACTATTAATTTTTTAATTAAAAAAATTCCCAGTCTCTAAGAAAACTTAAAAAAATCTAAAAAAGGAAAATGTAGATAAGTGCAAAAATCTTAAAAGTTATGAAACAAGTTAGTCTTATATAGACAAAGAAATTCTAAAAAATCATTAATTTCCTAATTTAAAAAATTCCGCATCTAATGCAAACCTAAAAAATCTAAACCAGATAAATTTTAATTAAACTAAGATTGGCAACTAAATGCACTTAATGCAGAGAAAATCTTAAAATGGTCAAAATATGTTATTATTTAAGTTTAGAAGAAAGAGTACTTTTTCTAACTCCAGCTAATTACTTTCCACTTTATACTCCAGCTAATTACCTTGAAAAATTCGAGAAATGCAAATACGCTCGTTGCGGCGCCTATGATCGTCTAAGAATTGCATAATCATGCACGTGAATGCATCCTCCTCGCGACAAAATATAATCGTTGTAGCTGTAAAAATATCCGCTTCGCAAATGCCGTTGCTCGATACTTTGTTAACGTGAAATGAAACGCGTGTGTCGACTTAACTGAACTGAATGTGTGCGTTCAACAAAAATGAATTAGCTCATAAAATTAAAGCGGAACAGGTTCCACAGCTGGGTGCGCAACATAATACTTATAATCCACCCATAATTCTGATTCAACAATTTTGGATGAAAAATTTCTCTATAGTTTCAAGACGTAATATGCCCGATATAATACCGATAATTATCGATCCAAAAAATTTGTGTCACAATTTTACAGGTAGTACGATGCGCTCTGACGAGAAAGAGAAATCTTATCCGAGAACCGCGAACACGCGCACATTAAACCGCGATCGAGCTTTAAACGATCGTTCACTCTGTAATCTGATCGACAGCTGATCTCAGCGAGTCTTTAAAGAGGATAGTTCAGCAAAATTATCTGTTCATTTGATACCAGTGTCGAATTTGTCATGCGATTCGATTAAGTTAATAATTGTTGAATAGAAAAATATATTTTTATAAAAAATTATGTTGTTCTTTTATATTTTTTTTAAATATAAGTCTAAAAAAATATGTACCCTCTTTTTTTAATATAACTTTAGAAATGCATAGATACTAAATTAAATAAATACATAGAAAATCACATTCTTCGAACCGAATGTATAATCGCCTATTTAATGAATCTAATAGCATAGTTTTATTTTATTTCAAATTATTTAATAAATAAATGGACACAAATATAAATTCATTCATGTTTTATGCAGATTGTCGATTGTATGTATAAACGGGAAAAGACATGAATATCAAAAAGTATTTCAAGGCCACGTTTTAAAGGCTCACCGGCACCAAAAGCAATGTTTTCGGGTCACTCAAAACCGGTCTCGTTATTCCGATATTTCCGTCAATTTCATAGAAAATACTTTGTAAAAAATAACAACAAAGTGTAGAGAGATTACAAAATTACGTTCTTATTATCTTTGCAGAGTAACGCTAATGCGTCATTCCTAAGCTATATGTTTCACACATAGCATACCAAAATATAGAAACTTTATCTAAGTTCTGAGACATTAAAAAAATACGGATCTCCCGGGGAAATCAGAAAATGGAACAGCAAACAAATTTCACGAAAGTTAACGTCAGCAAAACGAGATGATCTGTCCTCGTCGACAATTTCCTTATCGGCATTTTTATTTTATATAGGAGAAATTTTTACGCGGCGCGTAAACCAACCCGAAAAGAAATATATTACAACATATTAACCTCGTTTTAAACCAAATAAAATTTTATAAGTAAAAAATCGCACCAGACATAAATAAGCCTTCGGAGCTTTTTTACGCGCGAGAGAATTTATCCGAACACTCGACACCCAGATTGAACGGTGAGAAAGAACCGTATGTTTATTTCTTTTTTTTCCTGTTTTTATTAATCCTCGCTAAACTGGTCCCACGACCTCGAATGCGAACATTATGTTCGAGATCCTGTCGCGCGTGCGACAAAGTGAAGGGGAATCTCTAGCGGCCTTGTTGTTCGCGTAGAACTATATTGCATGCCACGCACAGCATAATTGCGGTAATTTTCGGCGATCAGCGCACCGGCACTTTCCGAGCGACTTGTTAATCCGCGAGAAGACGTTGCCCGAGGAAAGAGAAATCGAAGGGAGAAGCTTTCTCGTGTTGGCCGAGACGTCAACAGGTTGATCTCTCGTCGAATGACGATGACTCATTAACATGTCGTTGCTCCGTCTCGTGAGAATATATTTCTGATTAATCTCTCCCGGCGATAACGAAATGCTCTCCCATATATTTTTATCTGATTCTGTTCCAGCAAACTGCTGCGCAATATTGTATACTGTGATGTAACAATACTTGTCTACTTCGCAAATACAAATTTTCCAAGACCTAAGAGACAATAAAGCGTGTTACGATATTCTTGCGATGTTTTTGTTCGAAATTCGAAAACTAATCGATATCTCGAATTTTTTTTTTATACGAGACTC